CACTATGAGCGGGGGCGTCTACGGCGGAGGTGAGCCGACCTCCGCCCCGGGGAGCCCCAGGCCGGTACAGCCTCACCCGCAGCCCCGAGGCCCGAACCCGCGCGCCCCACGCTCCAGACACCCCGGGGCCTGTCAACTCGATCCGGAGCGGGCCCGGGCCAGGGCTCGGATGCTGAGCGGCCCCTACCTTTAGCCCTCCCCAACGGGATGCCTCGTCGCTCTCCTCTCGCGGTGGAGGGTGGGGGGCAAACTCTACCGCTGGACCCATCGCCTGGAGTACTCCCAGCCCCTTCCTTAACCGCAATGGACAAATGGCCTGATGGGATTCTGACGGACTTGGCCCACGCTCAGCACCCTGCCCCACCCCCGGGGGGGGGGCGCTGAAGGTGGCCAGCCTGCGACCGTGCCCTGCCTTCCTCCTGGAGGGGTGCAGGGGAGACAATTTGGGGACACCCCTCACACGCCCGCCCGTCTCCTCTCACAGATGAGGTGGGGGCGCTGGTCTTTGACATCGGCTCCTTCTCAGTCCGAGCTGGCTACGCTGGAGAGGACTGTCCAAAGGTGAGTCTTCCCGCCGCTTCCCCAATCCCTAGGGCACCCGGACTCCCCTCCAGGCTGGCCGGTGACCCGGGACTCTCCGATGTATGTGGGAGAAAGCCAGTGCACTGCAGGCTGAGGTGGAGGGCCTCGCTGTGCGACTGGACGCCCCCTGCAAGTGGGTGACCCTTGGCCCTGCCCATTCTATACCCCCTCAGGCTGACTTTCCCACCACGGTGGGGCTGCTGGCCGCGGAGGAGGGGGGCGGGCTGGAGCTGGAGGGGGAGAAAGAGAAGAAAGGGAAGGTCTTCCATATAGACACCAACGCCCTGCACGTGCCTCGGGATGGAGCGGAGGTCATGTCACCCCTCAAGAATGGCATGAGTAAGGGGCCCCACCGCTGCCTCCTGACACAGACCCCAGCCTGACTCCCCACAGCCCCGGACACCACACCCAGACCCACGGAGTGCTCCTTAACAGTCGCCCAAGTTCCCGGAACCCCTTCGCTGCAGTTGTCCCTTCGCTGCCTGGTTCCCAGCCCCTGGGACACCAGGTTCTTGGGAGAGGGCCTGCCCTGCTGGAGCTGGTCTCCCTCCCCCTTCTTTTCCTGCCCCTTTCCTTGCGGTCCTCTGACACATGCTTGCCCTCCTGGTCTCTCCTTGCTGATCTCCTGGCCCCAGTCGAGGACTGGGAGTGCTTCCGCGCTATCCTGGATCACACCTACAGCAAACACGTCAAGTCTGAGCCAAACCTGCACCCTGTGCTCATGTCGGAGGCACCGGTAAGTGCCTCCTCTGTCCAGAGTCCAGCTCTGGGACCCAGGCCCTTCCTTCCCACCATGCACCTCTCACCTCCACTGGCCCCATCAGTCAGGACACCCCCTCCCTTTTCAGACTGTCCTTCCAGTCTTATAGCTCTTCAACCACTTGCCTTCCTCCCTGCCTTCATCTCCACTGCCTCCTCTTCGCCTGCCCTTCCCACAGCCAGCCCATCCGCTTCCCTTTCCCTTGCCTGAGAGGTCCTGCTTTGAACTTTTGACTTAAGACAATTATGTCAACCATATAGGCACACCAAACGACCGTATTTGATTTATAAAGGATGTTCCAAACCAGAAAAACAAACTCACTGCCATCCAGTCGATGCGGACTCATAGCGACCTTATAGTACAGAGTAGAACTTCCCCTGTGAGTTTCTGAGACTGTAACTGTTTATTGGAATAGAAAGTCTCATCTTCCTCTGGCAGAGCGGCTGATGGGTTCCCTATGCTGACATGTGGTTATGCCCAATACATAACCCCGACACCACCAGGGTCCTTTCTATAAAGGATACTACTAAGTGGTGGTGGTGGGGTGTTGCTCCTGCCCTTCCCCTGCCCCCAGCATTTTCCCAAAGCCACAGCCTATATCTCATTTTTCGAAGTCTTTGTCTATTTCCTTCCATATCTCTAAATATCATGCTAAAATGGCTGCATTTTGTTGTTGTTGCTTTAGACCCTATCTATGAGATTTCCTCCCCCAACCTACACCACACACACTTCTCGCTCCGTACCTGCTTGTGTAGTTGTATTTTAGTTGTTGCTTTTTCACATCAATATTCGGTGTTTACACTTTTATCATTCTGTGTGATAATCAGGATGGGGACAGGAAAGACATTGTGAGCCCTTTATCTTTCCTGGACAACTTTTTGTTTTCCTTAGGGCTACAAATTGTTTTGAGTGTTGTTTTCCATGGTTTCCCATAGACTTATTACTGATTTGACCCTAAATTATTCAGCAGTGATTTCTGAGTTCTCTCTTTTTTATTTTAAATCATTTTATTAGGGGCTCATACAACTCTTATCACAATCCATACATACATCAATTGTGTAATGCGCATTTGTACATTCATTGCCCTCATCATTCTCAAAACATTTCCTCTCCACTTATGCCCCCAGCATCAGGTCCTCATTTTTCCCCTCCTTCCCTGCTCCCCCCTCCCTCATGAGCCCCTGATAATTTATAAATTGTTATTTTGTCATATCTTGCCCTGTCCGACGTCTCCCTTCACCCACTTTTCTGTTGTCCATCCCCCAGGGAGGAGGTTGCATATAGATCCTTGTAATCAGTTCCATCTTTCCAACCCACCCTCCTTCTACCCTCCCAGTATCGCCACTCACACCACTGGTCCTGAAGGGATCATCCACCCTGGATTCCCTGTGTTTCCAGTTCCTATCTGTACCAGTGTACATCCTCTGGTCTAGCCAGACTTGCAAGGTAGAATTCGTGTCATGATAGTGGGAGTTCTTTCAAGATATTAATTTCATTAGGTATTCTATGCGTTTCATCTCTGGCAGACAGCTCTCCAGGATCCCACTGACTGCTTTCCTTACACCTGCAACAGAGTTGCCCTCCTGGCATCTTCCTTCACCATCCTTTCGAGCAGCCCTTTTGCCTCCCCCCATGTTACAGGTCCTGTTTCCTATCTCGCGTGAGTCTCTCTCTTGGTTTACAGCCTTGTTTCCATGGCACACAATAACTTGTTAGAAAGATCATGGGAAGCAATTTTTTTTTTGATACCTTACATGCTTCACCTTGGATCGATAGCTTAGCTAGGTATAAAACTCTCAATGGAAAATCGTTTTTCTTCAGAATCATGAAGCCTGTTCTCTATTGTCTTTCAGCATCGATTGTTGCTCTTGAGAAAGCTGAAGCCCTTGATTCCTGATCTGTTGATATGCCACTGTGTTTTCTTTATGGAATTTATAGAATCTTCACTTTGTTCTCAATGTTTTATAATTTCACCGTGATATGTATTGATAGCGATCTAGTTTCATCTATTACCTTAGGCACTCATTATGTCCCTTCAGTCTGGAAACTGTGTCTTTTGGTTCAAAGAAAATGTAAAAATATTTAGTTGACAATATATTTCTTTCAGTTTCCTCTATTCTCTCTTTTGGGACTCCTGATGCTTGGCTAGTACACTCTAAAGTTGACCTAAGTGAACCATGGTGGGCATGAGTTGGACTTCTAATCACAAGGTCAGCAGTTTAAAACCACCAGCCACTCGTGGGAGAAAGATGAGGATTCCTATTTCCATAACGACTTATCGTCTCAGAAACCTACAGGGACAGTTCTACTGTCTTACAGGGTTGCTGTTAGTCAGAATCAACTCAGTGTCAGTGAGTTTTGTTTTGTTTTTGGTTTAGAAGACCCAATAGCATAGTGAATTACATGTTGGGCTGCTAACTACAAGGTCAGCAGTTTTAATCCACTAGCCACCCTGAGAGAGAAAAAGGAGGCTTTCTACTCCCATAAAAAGCTAGTCTCAGAAACTCACAGGGGCAGTTCTACCCTGTTGTATAGGGTTGCTCTGAGTCAGAATAGACTCGATGGCAGTGAGTCAGGGTTTTTGTTTTGTTTATTTTTTTAATGTTTTTTTGTTTTGTTTATTTTAAATAAAGATGTATAGCCTCAGAAATTCAAAGGGCTGGTCCACCTTGTCTTATAGGATTGCTATGAGTCATAACTGGCCCAGTGGCAGTGAGAGAAAGGAGACCTGGTGATGCAGTAGTTACAGTACTCAGCTGCTAACCCAAAGGTCATGGGTTCAAGGCCACCAGCTGCCCCACAGCATTCTGCTTCCAAAAAGACTTACAGTGTTGGAAACCCTAGGGGGCAGTTCTACTCTGTCCTATAGGGTCTCTATGGGCATCTCCTTATCTTTATGCTCTGATTTACAGAACTTTCTCTTGACTTTATCTTCCAACTTGTCTATTGAGTTTTTCATTTTTTGCTCTTAAAGTTTTGATTTCCAAGAGCTCTTTTTCATTTCCTTCATGTTATTTATTTATTTGGGTACTTGTCTCACTGTGGTAAATATAGGCATAGATATAACAAAACATTTGTCATTTCAGCATTTTTACACATACAACTTAGTATAACTTAGTCAGATTACTAATGCTGTCCAACCAACACTACTATTTTTTCCATTATCTTTAACAAAAACTCAGTTCCTGCTAAGCAATGACTCCTTACTTTCCCTCCCCTCAATTCTGGTAACCACCAATATGCTTTCTGCCACTATGGAATGTTCATATAAATGGATCGTATAATATGTTGTCTTTCGTGTCTGACTTATTTCGCTTAGTACAATGTTTTCAAACCATCCGTGGTATAGCATGTATCAGTTCTTCATGTCTTTTTATGACCGAAAAAATATCCCATTCTATGTATATGTCATCATTTATTTACCTATTCATCCATTGATAAATATTTTATTGATTGCAAATGGTACTTCTATGAACACTTATGTATAAGGGTTTCTTTCTGTATCTGTTTCCAGTTTTCTGGGTATATACCCAGGAGTGGAATTGGCCGGGTCATATAATTCCATGTTTAGCTTGTTGAGAGACCCCACACTTTGCTACAGTGGCTGAACCATTTCACCTTCCCATCAGCAATTTAACAATGTCCCAATTTCTCCCCATCCTTACCAATACTTGTGACTTTTCATTTTGCTTCAAAAATTACCATCATCACCATCCTAGTGAGACTGAGTGCTGTCCCACTGTGTTTTTGGCTTGCATTTCCTTAATGACTAAGGATGCTAGGCATCTTTTCATGTGCTTGTTGGTCATTTGAGACATTGGGTTCGTGTCTTATAAAATTGCCCCCTTGCTCTAATTTTGATGGGATCTTGGGAGGGAATAAAGCTACGTCTGTATTCAGCTCGCCGTTTTATGCAGATGACCTCCTCCTCATTGCTCTTTCCCCCAAGATAATTAGAATGGGGAAGAGGAGTGAACTGGAGACTGGGAGCAGCCTGAAATGTACATTCTATAATAAAGAGCCTTGGGCCAAGAGTCAAGAGACCCAGGTGCTACAGGAGCTGTGCTGAGAACTTTCTGTGTGATATTTGTGCATCTGGGCTTTCTTTCCCTCTGTTGGATTTGGATTGTGAGAAATCTTTATAGTTCTCACTTTTTAACAGACTATGTCAGTCCGGGGCCTGAACTCTGTCCTTCAGGTCAAGCTGTGTGCATATATTTGAGTGTGTATGCATGAGTGTGGGTGTACATAGATCTATTCCTCTCCCTTTCTGAATCCTCCCCTCCTGCACTTTCTCCTTAGTGGAACACGCGGGCCAAGCGGGAGAAGCTGACAGAGCTGATGTTCGAGCAGTACAACATTCCTGCCTTCTTCTTATGCAAGACGGCAGTACTTACCGCGTATCCTATGGGTGGAGGGCGAGGGTGGGGTGTGCGATGCTCTGAACGGAGGTTGAGCCTGAGTCTCTGAAGATCAGTATACCGGTTAGGCAAACACCTCACTCAGTCCCACGGATGCAGAAGGCCCTGAGCTTAATTAAGTACCTGGGGGTAGCCAGACTAGCAACCCACCGCTCACCCCCATTTCTGGTTTGCATCAGGTGGAGCCATGGAATACCTTACCTCCACAAAAGCAGACAATTGGGCCAAGCAGACAGCAGAAGCCATGTCTGAAAGGAGGAGAGAGATAGATACACAACAAAGAAGAATTTCCTCTCCAAATGACTGTCAGCAAGCTTTTTCTTTTCTTTACTTTTTTAAAAAAAAGGATTCAGTATCTTGCATGGAACCTATGCTTGGACATTGGGGAAATATAGATCCTAACTTCAGGGAGACCCCAAAGACTGAGACCAAGAACAAAGAGAAGCTGGGAGCTCGGCAGGAAGGAGTAGAGGGGGAAAGGTGTCACTCAGAAAGAGGGAAGCTACCTGGAGGAGATGGGTCATTAACCAGGAAGAGACATCTGTAGACTAGGGATAGATCTTGGGCCTCAGGGGAGCAGAGAATGACCAGCTCAGACCTGGGTCCCAACCCCTTTGCTTCCTGCTACTGTCTCTTTGACCGACGCATCCCATGTCAGCTTTGCAAATGGACGCTCCACGGGTCTCGTGCTGGACAGTGGGGCCACCCACACCACGGCCATTCCAGTGCATGATGGCTACGTCCTCCAGCAAGGTGGGGCCTCGGCGGGGCTCAGGGCTGCCCGGGAAGACCCAGGCCCTGACACCTCCTCCCATTCCAGGCATTGTCAAGTCACCCCTGGCAGGGGACTTCATCTCCATGCAGTGCCGGGAGCTCTTCCAGGAAATGGCCATTGACATCATCCCGCCTTACATGATCGCAGCCAAGGTGGGGCATCTTGGGGAGTCCCAGAGCTCCAACCACAGGGGTCTGGACCCTCACTCCAGTTGACCCGTTGACCCACTGACCCAGCAACTTCCAAAGCAGAGACCAACCAGGTCCTCAAAGAACCCTGAATGGTTCCTTATTTTATAGTCAAGGAATCAAGGAAGCTAAAGGGCTTGGACAAGGTCACAGAGCCAGCTGGTGACAGGATATGGGAGGCCCACAGCAATGGGTTCCGGGGTCCATAGAGCCAACTCCAAGTTCTTCCTCTGCCATTAAAGATCTATGTCCCCTAGTGTGTGATTGTGAGCGCCCCGAGCCTCCATTTCTTCTTTGACCAGAACCTTTCAGATTAGCTGGTGTTTCAAACCACCCACTCTGTGGGAGAAAGATGAGGCAGTCTGCTTCTGTGATGCTTCACATCCTTGGAAACCCTCCGGGGAAGTCCTGTTCAGACCCACAGGATCATTGTGGGTTAGAGTCAGCTCAAGGGCCGTGGGGTTAGAGTACCCCTTTGTGTGCATGGCATAGGCATACGATGGGACAGGCTCTCCACTTTCTCTCTCCTGGACCACAGAGTACAAAACTTGGTCAAGTGCTAGGAATGACAGGTGTGGGCTAGGTGGACTTCAGAAAGGTGTTCATAGGGTGTGTTCATCCCCACAGGAACCTGTACGTGAGGGTGCCCCCCCAAATTGGAAGAAGAAGGAGAAGCTACCCCAGGTTTCCAAGTCCTGGCATAACTACATGTGCAATGTAAGGCCCTGGAGGGGGTCCCCAATACCACTGCTCTGCCATGCCTGGCTCCCTGCTCCCTGCCATGGGTGGAGGAGGCAGACACTCAGCAGGTGTGTGGGGGGGGTGAGGTTTGGGAGAGGAGCCACACCCTTACCACCTCCCTGGGTTCTCAGGAGGTGATCCAGGACTTCCAGGCCTCGGTGCTGCAGGTCTCTGACTCTCCTTATGATGAGCAGTGAGTTGGGCCCAGAGCTGGGAGTGGGAAAGAGGGCACACTGGGATGAGGTGGTGGGTGGGGAGGGTGGTAGGGCCTCCGGTGCTGCCCCTTTTGCCCTTTGTGGGATCCCCAGACAGAGTTTTGCTCCTTTCTGGCCAGGGTGGCCGCGCAGATGCCCACAGTGCATTACGAGATGCCCAATGGCTACAACACAGACTATGGCGCTGAGCGGCTCCGCATCCCTGAGGGCCTCTTTGATCCTTCCAACGTCAAGGTCTAGTTGGGTGGAAGGCACTGGGGTGGGAGCTGGCTGGAGTCTTCAAGTCCTAGAGGGGTGTGTATGTGGAGGGCTGGGGGGGAGGGGGAGGGTGCCAAAGGCCCGAAGCATAGATCACCTTCCTCCACAGGGGCTGTCAGGGAACACCATGTTGGGCGTGGGTCATGTGGTGACCACCAGCATCGGCATGTGCGACATTGACATTCGCCCGGTGAGGCCCAAGTCCAGGGCTGGTTCCAAAGGGCCCAGGCGGCAAGGGGAGGTGGGGAGGATCTGCTCCCTCCGGCTCATTCCTTCTCCGTACTCTCAGGGCCTCTACGGGAGTGTCATTGTCACCGGTGGGAACACATTGCTTCAGGGCTTCACGGACAGACTGAATAGAGAACTTTCCCAGAAGACCCCACCGGTAGGAGCCCACCCCTGACCCAAGAGCCTAGACCCCACCGGTAGGAGCCCACCCCTGACCCAAGAGCCTAGACCCCACCGGTAGGAGCCCGCCCCTGACCCAAGAGCCTAGACTTCCATCCTGGTGTGCCCCTTCAGGACTAAGTCCTGCTCCCTGCTCAGATGTCAGGTGTCCCGTCACCAGAGCAGTCCCCTTGCTCCTGTGGTTTCCCACCCTTCCCTTCCATAGGCCCGTCCCTCCCTAGAACCCAGCTGTCTGCTTCCCCCAGCCCCTCTTTCCCCCCAGAGCATGCGCCTGAAGCTCATCGCCAGTAACAGCACCATGGAACGCAAGTTCAGCCCCTGGATCGGGGGCTCCATCTTGGCCTCACTGGTGAGAGGGAAGGAGGGACCTAGCCTGGGGATGAAGGCAAGGGAAGGCAGACCCAGACAGCCCCTACTGCTTTACCAGCCTCCCGGCTCATTCATTCAACAGACATTGGTTTTCCAGAAAAGGACAGAGCGAGGAACGAATGCTCAGGCAGGACACAGAGAACGGAGGGAGGTGGCGTTGGAGAGATTGGTTGGGATAAGGGAGCGGTGGCTTTGTGTGTCTGTCGGAGGGAGCCACTCACTGTACTTGCTTAGCAAGAGAGAGGGGCTGAAGTTTGGGAGTGGGGTGAGGGGTGATGGTCACAAGCATGAGTCTTTGGGGATGGAGATGTGAGCTTGGAGGCAAGGGGACCTGGAGAGGAGGCACTTTCTAGAGTCGTTGAGCGGTGGCAGTGAGGATGAGGTGGAGGACAAGGAGCAAACAGAAGAAGGAGGCAGGAAGGTTGGTTTAGGGGTAGTGGGTGGTGAGATCAGTCTAGACCCGCTGCTGGAATAGAGTCAGGGAACGACTAGAGGTGCAAACCGGATCTGGCAGGTAGGGCCACGAGATGTCCGATGGGGACAACACCGACTTTGGGGCATCCCCTAAAAGGAGGAGTCTCCAAGGAGACAGAAGCGAGGGTGAGGAGTTAGGAGACTGAAAGTGGGCACTCCGCTCAGGGTTGGGAGTCTCCTGGTCCCACAAGGTGATTGAGAGCACCCTGCATGCTGGCAGTGGACCAACAGTCCACGTTCCTGAGCAGGGGCAGTCTTCAGGGTGAGGCCAGTGAATGGGAAGTCACTACCAACCGGTAGGGTGATGATTCTTCATGGGAGGGCCAGGGTGGGGCAGGGACCTCATTTCATTTGTAGATCAGGAAGGGCCTTCAAGGAGAACTGGCACTCCAGCTGGGATAGGAAGCGTGTGGTGTGGGAGAATACCGAGGCTGAGAGGAAGGAGATCACGAGGAGGTGATGAGGAGAACTCAAGCAAGGCCACAGGCGACAGAGCGTTGTGTCGGGCCTGGGGTGGAACGCTCTCCTGGCTGCGGAATGGAAAGTGGATTGAAGGTGGCCAGATGGAAGGAAGACAAGGGCTCTATGATCCCCACCCTGTCTCGGGTGGGGCTGCGGAGTGGATGTCAGCAGGTGGAACGGGGAGCTTCTCGGGCAGTCCTCCGGACAGAAGGTGGGCGCTGTTTGATCATGACAGATGAGTGAAGGGAGGTGTCCAAGAGGGGCCAACTCACAGTCACAGCAAGGGCGCTGCTCTCCAACAGAGGTGGACTATGAATTATCGAGGCTATGGAACTGTTCCTAGTAGCAATATTTAAAAACTGGTAAAAAAAAAATGTTTAAAAAGACCCGTGAAATTAAGTTTTAATAATACAGTCATTCAAGACATCCAGAATACTATTTCAACGGGTGATCAACACAGAAGTTATGAATGAGAGCTCTTACACTCTTCTTTCCCGTACCCAGGCTTCAGAATCTGACGCATGCTTTGCGCTCAAGTGTTTAATAGTGTCATGTCCCTAGTGCCACCAGGTGGGCAGCACAGGTCTGGGAAGTGAGGGAGACCCAAAAAGAAGCCGATTTGGGCGGGGCCTGGGGAGACATGGTGAACTTCCTTGTGGTGGATTTGCTGACTGGGAGATCCCCAAGGGGAGGTGGGAGGTGTGGATCTGGACCTCCACACAGGGAGATCGGGACTGCACGGGAGAGAGTGGACACGGGAGAGGTGTCGACAGATGACGGGATGCCCAGGAGATGGATGGAAGCCGGGAAAGTGTGCTCTGTGGGTTGAGAAGAGAAAGCAGGGCAGAAGCCTGGCACACCCAGAGACAGAAGAGCCATCAGAAATGGGACCATCCGGGATGTCTAGTGCAGGAGACTCTCAAGGGACCAACTTCTGTGGGGGTGGAGGTGGGGGTGGGGAAGCTAGATTGAAGCCAACTCCACCCAGCAGTTGGGTAGCTCAGGACAAGCGGAATGAGAAGATATTTTTCTTCCGAGGAGGAAGGGGGTTTGCTGCCCTGTTTGTGAGGCTGGAGGGCAGTGAGGGCGGGGAAGGGGGAGGGGGAAGAGAAGGAATGAGCCCAGTGGGTGTTGGAGGTGCAGGGGCGGCTGGTCTGGGGCTATAAGCTCAAACACCAGCTGGGGTTGAGTGGGAAGAGTCTCTGGCCCAAGGCGATCGGAGAGAGGCGCACTGATATTTGTTGAATGAATGATGGAAAATCGGAGCATTTTCTCCTTCTGATTACGATTAGTGGACCAGGGGATGCGGGAGGCAGCTCAGGAGGTACGTTGGGGGAAAGGCGTGGGCCTCCCTCCCTCTGAGGTCCCCTGACCGCTGTCCCCACCTCCCAGGGCACTTTTCAGCAGATGTGGATCTCCAAGCAGGAATACGAGGAGGGCGGGAAGCAGTGCGTGGAGCGGAAGTGCCCCTGAGGGCGGAGAAAAGGGCCTGAGAGCGGCCCCCAGCCCCACCGGGCTCTGCTCATTCTCCATCCACAGCGCAAATCCAAGCTCCCTGGTCTCCCAAGACCCCTTCCTCTACCCCTTCCCCCGCGTCCTCTTAGATTGTGACGTTTCTGAATCGAAAGGAGTAAAAATGTTTTAAGAAAAAAATTTTTTTTTTAAGTTTGGCTTCCTTGGGGTGGGTCTTGGGGACGGGAAAAGGGGCCGTACCTACAATCCATTCGGGAGTCCCGGGGGACCCGGGGCACAGCATGGCACCAGGGGTCTCAGGGGTCTCGGTGTCTTCGAGCTACAAGGGGGCTCCAGGCCTGGGCGAAGCTGGACTCGGCGGACACTGAAGAACTGAGCGGGGCGGGAGGCGAGGGGGCTCCTGCAGAGAGGACGTGGGGGCGTGGGCGGGGTCGAGAGGAGGGCCAGCCCCCGAGGGGCGGGGCCTGGGCGGGGCCGGAGGCGGGGCCTGTGGTGGGGGGTGGCGACTCCAGAGAGGCTTTGCGAAGCTCCAAGCTCCTGGACCTGCAGCTCAGGTGAGCGGTGGCTGCGCCGTTTCTTCCTTCCCCCGGGCTTGCGGGGTAACAGAACAGGGCGGGGCCCGGAGACACTTGGGGGGGCGGGGTCGCGTCACTTAGTACTTCTCTCCGGAGCTGCTTGTCCTAGCCTCCTGGGTGCTGGCTTGGGGACCTGCCCGCGTGCCTGCCTTGGCAGATAAAACTCCGCGGTTTGTCCCTGTGTGTCTCTGGGGTGACGGTTTGCGGTCCTTCATCAGACTCAGAGGGTCCAAGGCCCCAGATTCTACTGGGTGACCCAAGACTTCTTGTCACCCAAGAGCAGGATCGGGACTTTCCCACCACCCACTCTGCTAGCGCAGCCCGGGACTATCCACCTCACCCAGTGCCTCCTTGGCTCTGACCCACAGATCTCAGACACTCGAACACCCAATCCTGGAGCGCCGGTCCCTCCCTGACCATGGACTTCCACTCATACCCCTCCCCAGGCACTAGCTGGAGATAGACGTCCGAGTGGCCAGGCAGGGAGTCCCCCAGCCCATACCACTTCGTCAGACACCAGGGTGAGGAAGGCCCCTAATGGGTTATTGGTCCTGGAGGGGGAGAGGGCTGCAAGCCAGGGGACTCAGGGCAAAGGCTCTTCTGGGTGGTTCTTTCTGGGGAGCGTGGGAGACTATGCTACACTCCCCCCCCTCCCACCAAGGACACTGGTAGGGGTGGAAGCAGCAGAGGTGAGGGGGCATATCCATGTCTTTGCCCTTCCCAGTCACCAGTTCCCCTCCCCCACTGCTGACGGTAACCCAGGGGCAAAGTCTGCCCTGAAAGGGGGGGGGGGAATTGATTGCTGCAGGGAGGGGGCAGGAGTGGGGCTGTGGAGGGCTGTCAGGGAAGGCCAGCCCTTCTGCTCTGGCCTAGGCTGGGGTGACCATAGCTGGAAGGCTTGGCTGAGGCCAGGACTTCTCCCCACCCTTGTGGGGTGGGGGATGTTCAGGACTTAGACTCCCTGCCTGGGCCGATAAGGGCCTTTATGGGGCTCCCACAAACGGTTTATCACTGCCTAGGGTAAGCAGCCAGCAAGCCGCAGGAAGGGGCAGGAGCATGGAGCGACTTAGGGGTCTACTCCAGAGAGCGGTAAGACCCAGTGGGGTTGGGGGATGCCTTATGCCTTCTCACGAATTCCCTCAGCCTCGCTCTAATCCCCCAGGCTTCTGTCCCTGTCTGGCCAATGTCCTGGTCCCTCCCCTCTGGCCTCTGGCCTCTGGTTCTCCTCCCCACCCACCTCTCAGGCCCTTATCCCTCCCCCACCTTCTGCACATTTGACACCCCAGGGCTGCTGGTCCATTCTTGCCAGCTTCCTCTCCATTTCCCAGACCTCTTGTCCCCATCTCATGCCCACCCTGCCCCCCACAGCAAGAGTTGTCCCTCGGAACCTCTCAGGCCATCTATAAGCGTGTTGAAGGCACCCAGCAGGGCAACCCGGAGGAAGAAGAAGACAGCGGTGGTGGCAGCAGGGAGGAGGGGTTCCAGCCTGTGGTCCACTTCTGCCCTATGGAGCTGAGGAGCCCTGAGCCCCGGGGCTCGGGAGCAAGGCTGAAAACCTTGGGATCCTGGGTGGCAGTAGGACGAAGGTCCACCCCCTACCTGGTCTTGACAGCCCTGCTGATCTTCACTGGGGGTGAGAGTGAAGGGCCTGGGTGGGGGAGAATGGCTGGGGTCCTGAGGGGACATTAAAAGAATCCCCATCTTGCCGCCCGCCAGCTTTCCTCCTGGGTTATGTGGCCTTTCGCGGGTCCTGCCAGGCATGTGGGGATGCCGTGCTGGTGGTCAACGAGGATGTCAACTATGAGCCAGCCCCGGACTCCCACCAGGGCCCGTTGTACTGGCGGGACCTCCAGGCCATGTTCCTTCAGTTCCTGGGGGAGGGCCATGTGGAGGACACCATCAGGTAAGGAATAGCCTGTCCCCTTCCTGGCACCTCAAATGTCCTCCCTCCCTCCACTCAGATGCAATTCCCCTTCCTCCTAACTTAGGATCCTAGTATGGGAGGGGGCAACCCTTTCTGAGCCCTGCCACCTGCCTCCCTGGTCCCCCCTGTACCTCAGTCCTGGGAAAAACAGCGGGCACCTGGAACTGAGAGGATGGAGGGCAGGTGTGGGGTGGCATGGTTGTGGGGGTGGGGGACTGGCCGAATGAGGACAGAGGGGCCCAGCATTCAGGCAGCAGTAGAGCATCCCCGAGAGACCCTTGAGAAGCAGAGGAACTTGGATTTGGATCTGTGGTAGCTGGGAGCACTCAAAAAAACCAACAAAAAAACCCTGCCCTTGACTCAGCTCTGATTGGACAGGCCCTAGACGACAGAGGAGGGCTGCCCTGTGGGTTTCTGAGATTGCCAATCTTTCCGGGAGTAGAAAGCCTTGACGTTCTTCTTAGGAGCAGCTGGTGGTTTCAAACTGCTGGCCTTGCAGTTAGCAGCCCAACTCGTAACCCACTATGCCACCCGGGAGCTCTGAAGACTGAACAGGGGCATGTTAGGGAATTGGAAAAAGCAAGTATTTGGCATGCATTTGTGGGCACATCTTCCACTCTTCCCCCTGTCTACATCTTGGGGCTGACAACTGAACCTGGCCCGCAGCCTGCAGCCCAAGCTTCTCTCTTCTGCTTTGTTCCGCTGCGCGCTCACCCTTCCCTCTGAGAAGGCGTGACCCAGATAGGTCCAGAGAAGAGGTCCTGTCTCCCAGCCCTCCTTTGGGTCAGGAATAGTTTCCCAAGGAGTTCTCCTGGGTTCTCTAAGTGGGTAATCATATAAGCTAAAAGTCTGATCTGAAACTGATCAGGGGATAGCCCAGGACTGGGCAGCATTTCGCTCCTAGGGAGATCCAGGAGAAGCATCCATGTGCACTAGGGAAGAATGTATATTCTGTTATTTTTCAGTGGTGTGTTCTATATAGGTCTGTTAAGTCTAGTTGATGTATCATTTAATTCGAGTCCTCTATATCCTTATCGGTCTTCTGTCTAGATGTTCTGTCCACTACTAAAAGTAGTATGTTGAAGGCCCCAACTATTATTGTAAAATTATATATCTCTTCAATTCTATCAATATTTGCTTCATTTTGGGGATGGCTCTGTTGTTAGGTGCATATGTAGAATCATTGCATCTCTTTTTTTTTTTTTAGAGGGCGGACATTGTCTCCCTTGTACCCCACCCCCATCACTGTATTCCCACCCACCCAACCCTTAGTCTATTTGCCTTCCCTATAGGTTCAGCAATGCTGGGTTTCATCTACCAAAACACAGAAAAACGTAACACCACACAACTTCACGAGGGTGGCCACCAATGACATAACACCTCTAACATACACCCTAATGTGAGCAAACAAAAATACAGGAAATGTGAATAGACTTCTTTATCATGGTATGATGTCCACATTTGTCTCTTGTAACACACTTTTTACTTAAAGCCTGTTTTGCCTAATATTAAGATAGCCACCCCTGCTCTCTTTCAATATTTACATGGAACACTTTTTTATTCTTTTCACTTTCAACTTATTTTTTTGAACTTGCCTATAAAGTGAGTCTCATACAAAGCATGTATTAGGTCATGTTTTCTTATCCATTCAGTTAATTTCTGCCAGTTGGTTGATTATTGTAATCAAGTTACATTTTAAGGGGAGTCCTGGTGGTTAAAGCTCCCAGTTGCTAACCCAAGGTTGGGTGTTTGATCACACAGCCACTCCACGAGATAAAGATGTATAGGCTGCTTTCCATAAAGATTTACACCCCCCAAAAAAAAAAAAGATTTACACCCTTGGAAACCTTATGAAAAGCTCTACTTCTCTGTCTACTCTGTTGCTGTGACTCCGAATCTATTGGATGGCAATGTGTTTTACATTTGAGGTCATTATTTAAGGAAAGGCTTGCTTGTGTCGCTGTGTTACTTGTTTTCCGTGGGCCCTACACTTTTTGGTCATTTATTCCAGTACTGCCCACTTTTGTGTTTGACTTTTTTTTTTTTTTAATAGTAAATCATTTGAATTCCTTGGTTTTCACCTGATGGGTATATATTTTAAGATATTTTCTTTGTGACTGCATAGGGATTTTATTTAACATCCTAAATTTATAAAAACCTAGTTTAAATTGGTAAAAATTTAACCTTAATAACATACAAAAATTCTGTTCCTACACTGTTTCTCCCCCTTCTTTGGGCTTGTGTTAGTCTGGGTAGACTAGAGAAACAAATTCATAGACACTCATATGTGTATAAGATGCAGCTCTATATACAAGAGCAATTGAATATTGAGAAAACATCCCAGCCCCGTCCAGATCAAGTCCATAAGTCCGATATTAGCCCATATGTCCGATGCCAGTATACAAATTCCTCTTCAGACTCACACAGCGCATGTAATGATGCCAAATGCAGAAAGATCACAGGCCAGTGGGTGAAAAATCTTGTGGATCCAATGGCAGTGGAACCATCTCACTGTCAGGGGTCTCCACATGGTTCATCCAGTTTAGGGCATTAACATAGTTCCCTGTGTGTTATCAGCCGATATGTCTCCCAGAGAGTGAGGGTGTGTCCTGCCTCCAGCGAGCTATTTATCTCCTTAGCACCTCCAAATGAGGCCATCAAGCTATGACCTGATTGACAGGCTAGACTCCTCCTGTCCACTCTTAAGTCTCAAATTGACAACAGATTTTGTAACCACCATGGGACTATTGTCACAAATGACATCTTTATGTATTGTGTGCTTGCAAGTTTATGCTTATGCATTGTCTTTTACATCATGTAGACTCTAGAGCATAACAAGTGGAATTAAAACCCCAAAGGCCATACACTTGGCCTTGATATTTACCCTTACAAGTTCCTTTCCTGGAGATGTTTTGTCCCTTTTTTCCTTATGGCTTGAAGTTACTGTTTAGTGTTTATTTCACCTCCACTTGAAGGACTCTCGTAGCCTTTCTCATACCTCAAGCCTGTGGCAAGAAGCTCCCTCAGCTTTTGTTTATCTGGGAATGTTTGAATTTTGCCCTCACCCGTAAAGATCACGTTTGCTAACATAGAATTATTGGGTGACTGTGATTTCAGCACCTTAAATGTGTTGTTCATTTAAATGTGTTGCTCATTTGCATTCCATCTTCTTCGATTGTTAGGGAAACTCGGTGTTTTCTCGCGTGGAGGATCCCTTATATGGGATGATTTGCTTCTTTCTTGCAACTTTCCAGATGCTCGCTTATCACTCACTTTTTTTTTTTTTAACATTTTATTAGGGGCTCATACAACTGTTATCCCAATCCATACACACATCAATTGTGTAAAGTGCATTTGTACATCGTTTCTCAAAACATTTTCTCTCCACTTAAACCCCCATATTAGGTCCTCATTTTTCCTCTCCCTCCCCGCTCCCCCCTCCCTCATGAGCCCTTAATAGTTTATAAATAGGTATATTGTCATATCTTGCCCTGTCCGACGTCTCCCTTCATCCACTTTTTGGTTGTCTGTCCCCCAGGGAGGAGGTCACACACAGTTCCATGTAATCGGTTCCCTCTTTCCTACCCATTCTCCCTTTACCCTCCCTGTTTTGCCACTCACACCACTGGTCCTATAGGGCTCATCCGTCCTGGATTCCCTGTATTTTCAGTTCCTATCTGTACCAGTGTACCTCCTCTGGTCTAGCCAGACTTTCAAGATCGAATTCGAGTCATGGTAGTGGGAGCGGGGAGGAAACATTTAGGAACTAGAGGAAAGTTGTATTTCTCATCATTGTTACATCGCACCCTGACTGGCTCATCTCCTCCCCGAGATCCCTCTGCATGGGGATCTCCAGTGGCCTACTAATGGGCTTTGGATCTCCACTCCGCACTCCCCCCATCATTCACTATGGTAAGATTTTTTGTTCTGATGATGCCTTACACCTGATCATTCACTTTTAAGAACTTGATTATAAAATGTCTTGGTGTAGATCTCTTTGAGTTTATCCTACCTGGATTTCATTGAACACCTTGATGTGTAGATTCATGTCTTTTGTCAAATTTGTGATCTCTTTAGGCTACTATTTCCTCAAACAGTCTTCTTTGCCGTTTTCCTCTGTTCTCCTTCCGGGGCTCCCTTAGACTCATGAGTGCTTAGGCCCCATTCACTCTTGCTTACTCTTTCATTTTCTCCTCAGACTTGATGTATCATTTTCTAGCTTCAAGTTCATTGAGTATTTCTTCTGTGAGCTTACACCTGCTGCTTAATCCTGCCAGTGAATTTTTACACGTTAGCTTTTTTGTCCTTTTCACCTTCAATAGTTGACCCTTTTTTATAAGTTGATCTCTTTATCAGTTTCTCACTTGGTTCATGATATTGTTTCCTGGATATTCTGTAGTTCCTTGTCCGTGTTTTCCTTTAGTTCTTCAAACATATCAAGTCCTGTTGTTTTAAAGTCTGCCTGTGACCTTCCACAGAGACGGTTTTTGCCACTTCATCTTGTTCTTTTACAGGATCCATCCTCCCTTCGTTCTTTGTAGGCCTCGTCATAGTTGTTTGTTGAAAATGAAATGTTCGTTTATTCTATGATAACTCTGAAAATCAGATTCTTCTGCATCCTGTGGACTTGCTAGTGTTTTATGTTTATTTTTTAATTGTTGAAGGCTGTAGACATCAGTTTAGTGACTGTCTATTTTTTCAATGAGTGCCTTCCTAAATAAATGTGTACGCAAGTCTCTGTGCCTTTTTCCGAGGATTCAGTTTGTGTTTTGCTAAAGCTTTGCTTGAATGCCACAGTTGGAAGGTGAGTCTCATGGTCTCTGATCATTGACTCCGTGCTGGGACTCTCATTCAGCACATCAAAAGGTTTGCACTGAGCCTACGGAGGAGCAGCCTAAGATAAAATATAATATTTTTTCCAGGTGTAACTTTTTTCAAAGGTGTCTCTACCTAGGTGTGTGTGTGTGTGTGTGTGTGTGTGTGTGTGTGTGTTTCAAATCTCTCTTAGACATAGTTCTTTTGGAAGCTTTCGCTTCCCAAAGAAATTCTTTCCCCAACCACTGTCTCTAGTATTTAGTCTCTAGTATTTAGTAGATTTATGCCTAAAAGGTGCCCTAGTGGCATAGTGGGTGGCATAATGAAATTGGGCTGCTATCCTTAAGGTCAGTAGTTCAAAACCACTAGTCACTCCCTGGGAGAAAGATGTGGTTTTCTACTTCTGTAAAGATTGACAATCTTGGATCGAACTTGATACTTGGCCAGTTGACCTCCCTCTTGACCCAGCCTGAATTTGTTCTAGATGCAAGTACCTCTTGTTTGTTCCATGACAAAAATTTCATCCTTGGCTTTTTAAATAATAGATAGATAGATAGATCACCCAAAATGTAAACCTCATATACTCCACAGTAAAAAGTTTTAAAACATCTAAAAAAGGAAAAGAGTTCTAAAATTGATTGTGGTGATAATTGTACAACTCTTCTTAATATGATTAAACTATTGGGTTATATGATTTGTGAGTTATAGGCCAATAAAACTTTAAAAAAAGAATGAGTATAAAACATAACAAAATACAAATGTTAGTGTGAAATAAAAAAAAGATCGACAGTCTCCAAATCCCACAGGGGCCGTTCTACTCTCACCTGTAGGTCACTGAGTCAGAACTGATTCAATGGTAGCGACTGAGACTGTAGGCCTTAACCACGCTGGCAGGCGCAGGATTCAGGTGGTTACGGCGTTAGGTCCCCCTGCTCTGTGGGAACTCTGAGACAGGTGAGACCAGGATGACAGCCTTGACGCGTCCTTCAGGCAGACAGACACAGACTTGTGGATAAAACCTTCGCTCTGCCAGACCTAGAGACCAGGCTCCACCTCGGGAAGTGCATGACACTGCTGCTTTAAGGTGGCTATGCAGAGAGGGCACGCCGGTGGAGCATGGCTTTCCTGCATTTACGTAGATGCCACTTTGGTTTTTGGTTTTTTGCTTCAGCATTGGCTTGGTTGTTATAACCACTCAACTGGTTTTCCAGAGTCCTGACAAAGTTGGTCCTGATGGTTTCTGCTTGTGCATTTTGCTGGGGAGTGGAGGTGGGGGAGGTGGTGGAAACATTTGGCTGGTCGCACAGCCATCTTGCTGTGGACCAGTTATGCGTTTTTAATTTAGATAAACTTTTTGAAGAAGAACACTATACTTGAAAGGTCGATGTAAATTGCAGATTTAGTTTATTATTTCTTAGTGCTAGATAGACTTCCAAGTGCTTATCAATTCCATGATAACGGACACCTATGATCAGGTGTCGGAGGAACCCTGGTGGGGTAGTGGTCTCACTGCTAACCGTAAGGTGGTCAGCGGCTGCTCCATGGGAGAAAGATGAGGCTTTCTACTCCCTTAAACAATTCCAGGTTTGGAAACCCACAGGGGCAGTTCTACTCCGTCCTGTAAGGTCACTATGAATCAGCATCCACTCGATGGCAGTTTTGTTTTGATGAACAGGTGTAATTTCAATCTAACTTGAGCTTCCGGATGGGATCGAGATGGGATAGGCATGGAACTGAGGCACTTGGGTCATGGAGTGGAAGAGTCCTTGTGAGAACAGAAAGCACGGCACTTTGAATCACGGGACATTGTCCACGTGGGTTTTGAAGGCGCGCACGAGGTAGAATGGGGGTGGAACTGGATAGCTTGGGCTCCGAGCAATAGTGCTTTTCCTAAGGGGAAGTTGTCACAAGTTTGACAAGTGGAGCCAAAGGCACAGGAAAGGTAGGTCTCTTCAAGAGTGGAGCCCAGTTTCTATCAAGCCAAGAGGTAGCAAAGGTCTTCTGGGAAGATGTTGAGGGGAGAGCGTGCAGGTAGAATAAGTGATAGGAAAGGCAGTACCCCAAACTGCCTTTCCTAGCGACGCTATAGGACCGAGTAGAACTGCCCCAGTGAGTTTCCCAGACCGCAATTGTAAACAGGAGTAGAAAGCCCCATCTTTCTCCCTCGGAGAGGCTGGTGATTTTGAACTGATGACCTTTAAACAGAGTGCAGGGATACTGCAGGTTAACCAAGGCTTGCTACCAAAGAAGGCTCAGTTGAGTCTCTAATGAGACGAATTCCAGTAGAACCCTTGGACCAGTGGTTCTCCACCTTCCTGATGCCCCCACCCTTTCATACAGCCCCTCATGTGGGGGTGACCCCCTAACCATAACATTATTTTCGTTGCTACTTCATCACTGAAATTTTGCTACTGGTACAAATCGTCATGTCAGTATCTGATATGCAGGATGAATTCTTATTGTTACAAATTGAACATAATTAAAGCATCATGATGAATCACAAAAAACAAGATGTAATTCTATATTGTGAAATATTTATTTCTAGTGACAAGTAAATGAAATTTTGTCTTGAAGCGTGGTGGAGCATGGCTAACAGTCTTCAGGCAGGGTACTCATAGGTGGGTGTATCTGCATGTGGGCGGACCTGCCTGGAGATAGAGGAGCCCTGTCTCCGTTCCTAAGACCATCGTTAAAATGTGTTTTCCTATAGTCTTAGGCGACCCCTGTAAAAGGGTCTTTGACCCTCAAAGGGGTCTAGCCCCACAGGTTGAGAACCAGGTCCCAGTTGGAGGATGGGAAGTAGTAGGGGGCTGGGAGCTGGGACGGGGCGGGGAGGTTAGTGGGGGAGGGGGCAGGGGGTCTGCTTCCCAAGTGTAGTTAGCACTTTGAAATGTAAATGATTTCAAGCCTGGGCAAAGCTCAGGCCAGGATGTGTCCGGAGGAGCATGCCGCTGGCGCGGGGGACAGTTGATGGTTGGTGAGTTTACCCTGGCCTGACCCCCTCACTAGGGGAAGCTGAGCCTTTTGAGCAGAAGGGTCACCAGGAGGGAATGGATCAGAGCAGAGTCTGAGACTAAGGAGCCCCTCACCATCCATGACCCTCATCCTCGGACGTCCCGTCCGTGCCTCTCCTTCCAGAGAAACCAGCTCTCGGCAACGGGCGTCGGGCTCGGCGGGGATGGCCGCCCTGGTTCAGGACCTCCGCACCGAGTTCTCGCGCCAGCGGCTGGACCACGTGTGGACGGACACACACTACGTGGGGTTGCAGTTCCCGGACCGGTGAGCACCGGGAGGCCAAAGAGTGGGGCGGAGGCCGGCGCGTGGCCGGGGGTCGCTCACCACCTCGCCCTGCTCCACTCAACAGGGAACACCCCAACACCCTGAGCTGGGTAGATAAGGCCGGTGGGGACGGCGAGCAGCTGCCTTTGGAAGACCCCGAGGTCTACTGTCCCTACAGCGCCACGGGCAACGTCACGGTGAGCGCCTCCGGTCCCACCCCGGGGTGCAGGTCGCCCTGACTCTTCGCGGGGTGCCGGGCGTGGGACGAGGTGGGCACGCCTCAGCCCCCCTTCTCCGTCTCCGCAGGGCGAGCTGGTGTACGCCCACTACGGGCGGCCAGAGGACTTGCAGGAGCTGCGCGCCCGGGGCGTGGAGCCGGCGGGGCACCTCCTGCTGGTGCGCGTGGGGATGGTCAGCTTTGCCCAGAAGGTGAGGCCCGCGGGGAGGACGGTGCGGGCCTGTGCACCCAGAGGACCCTGCCGATTGGAAGCAGCTAGGAGGCCGATAAAGGAGGGAAGGATAGACTTCAGGGGACTGTGAGAACATATTGATAGGGAAGATACGTGATCAGAGGCTCCTGGGCGGAGCCTGGCGGGATGTAGGGGGACAGAAATGTGTGTGTTGGGGTGGTGGTGCACAGAACTATAGGAGTCACCGTTGCCTTTTATCATTTCTCCTGCTGTAATAAACCCCTTTTCTCTGGAGAAGGACTCGTATAGCCACCTTCCTTTCCCAGGTGGCCTGGGCCCAGGACTTTGGGGCACGAGGAGTGCTCATCTACCCTGACCCAGCGGACCTCTCCTCGGACACACACAAGCTAGGCCTGTCCAGGCACCGAGCTCTATATGGACATGTGAGTCTGGAGACCCAGGGAGCACCTCCTGGCCTTGGGCAGGGCTGGCATGCTACTCCCCTTGGAGCTCTGCCCACAGTTTGAACATGGGCATCCATCCCTCTCCCTACAGGTGCACATGGGGACTGGGGACCCCTACACGCCTGGCTTCCCCTCCTTCAATCAAACCCAGTTTCCTCCAGTCCAGTCCTCTGGGCTCCCCAGAATCCCAGCCCAGCCCATCAGCGCCGACATTGCCTCCCGCCTGCTGAGGTGAGGGTCCCCTTGCACCCAGGAGAGGAAGATGCAGAGAGCCAGGCTGCAGCAGCCCAGGGGGATCCTTGGAGGGAAGTAGTAAAAAAGGCGCTTCTTCCTCGGGTAGAGAGCCCTGGTGGCATAATGGGTCATGTGTCATTGAGCTGCATAAGGTCAGCGGTTCAAAACCACCAGCCGCTTGTCAGGAGAAAGATGAGGCTTTCTAGTTCCCAAAAGCTTTAGTCTTGGAAACCCCCAGGAGCAGTTCTACTGTGGCGGAGAGGGTCACTATGAGTTGGAATTGACTCAAAGGCAGTGAGGTTGTAGGGTGTTTCCTGGGAGGGGAGAGAGGGTTGTGTTGCAGCCTCTTCTGAGGCCCACAGTGGGGAGTGGGGACACTGCCAGGTTCCAGCTGCAGACCCCACCACGGTTCATCTCTTGGGTAGGAGGCAACCTTCACACCTATCTGGGGGCCCTGGTCACACAGCTCCCGCGACCAGGGTGCTGAGGCAGAGGGTGGTAAGGAAAGAATAGAAAGGGGGCTTTGGACCCATCTGTGGCCCAGGTCTCTCTGCTACACCTGGTCCCTTCTGCCCACTGTTCTCCAGGAAACTGGGAGGTCCTGTGGCTCCTCAGGAATGGCAGGGCCACCTCCCAGAGTCCCCTTATCGCCTGGGTCCGGGACCAACCCTGCACCTCAGAGTCAACAACCGCAGGGCTTCCACCCCCATCAGCAACATCTTTGGCTGCATCGAGGGCCGGTCTGAGCCAGGTGTGCTCCCTCACCCAGCATCCCGAGCTCTGAGAAGAGCCACCTCTTTACACCCTAACCCAAGCGACACGGGGTCCTGCAGGAGGCCTGCAGGGGAAGTGGGCATGGTGCCCGGGGGAGGGAAGGGCAGCTTTAACTGAAGTGGCAAGTTGGGACTGGGCCTGAGGGATGTGGCAGTGAGGAGACCACCCTGCCCTCAAGTGGCATGGGGAAGTCTTGCGCAGCAGTGAGTCCCGTGGGACTGGAGATGAGCAAGCCTGCTGGGTGGTGTTCCAGCAGAGTAGGAGAAAGAGGTCTGAGTGGATAGATGGTCCTTTCGAGCACCATGAAGGTTCTTGAGCAGGAACCTGGGGTGATGGGAGCAGCCCTTTATAGAAGAGCATGGTACCTATGAGGGTGGGGTGGGGGGAGCGGGCAGGGAAACCCCTGGTGAGCAGGATGCTGGTGAGGGAGGGGTGATGAGGAATTTAAAACCTGCCACCACCTGGTGAACAGTCCGATGTGGCTCACCAAGGAGAGAATGCTGCCCGGCACCCTGCTGCTAGAGCCAGTTGTCCAGACAGGGCCAGGGAAGAAGGGGCAGGTTTCTTTAAAGACTGCAGGGCTGTGGGCGGATGTGATGGGGCAGGGTGATGGAGATTGGGGGAGGGCCAGGAGAGCTGATGCACTGGGCCCTCCCCCCTCCCTCACTCCTGCCCTGCATAGAAGGAGAAGCCTTGAGGGATTGATTGCCCCTGTTAAGAGGCCCCAACCATCCCCTCCCCTAGATCACTACGTTGTCATCGGGGCCCAGAGGGACGCCTGGGGCCCAGGAGCGGCCAAGTCAGCTGTGGGGACTGCCATCTTGCTGGAGCTTGTTCGGACTGTGTCCTCCATGGTGAGCAAAGGTAAGGTGAGCCTGGGTGAGCCTGGGCAGGATGGGGTAGAGCGGGGTGGGGCTGTGGCCTGAGCCAGGACAGGGCTGGGAGGCAGTGAGGATGTCTGGCTGGAGGGCGGGCCTCACGCCTGGGTTTCAGACTTGCCTCTCCCACATTCTAGCTGCGTGGCCTTGGCCAAGCCACTTCCCCTCCATTCCCTCCTCTGAAAATGAAAGTAATGGCAATACTTCAGAGTGACATTAAGCAGGAGTCAGGATTGGGTAGGAGGGGCCCCAGGGGACCAGAACCGAGGGAGGACCAAGTAGGACTTTGCTTGCCACCCATTCTCTTTCTCGCTCTCTCTTGTGTCCCCAGGCTTCCGGCCCCGAAGAAGTATTCTCTTCATTAGCTGGGATGGAGGCGACTTTGGGAATGTGGGCTCCATGGAGTGGCTGGAGGTGACACTGGGATCCTGGGCAGGGTGGCTGGGCGGTAGGGAAAGGCATGTGGGTATGTGGGGAGAAGGGGGCACACTCTACTCCTCTCACCCACAGGGCTACCTCAGTGTGATGCACCTCAAAGCCGTGGTCTATGTGAGCCTGGACAACGCCGTGCTGGGTGAGGCGGGCAGTGCCACCAGCCGGGCCCCTCCTACCCGCTCCTGTTCCCAGGCGGGCCGATCTTGAACCTGGCGTCTCTCCCTCTCTTCAGGGAATGACAAGCTCCATGCCAAGACCAGCCCCCTGCTGACCAAACTCATCAAGAGTATCTTGAAGCAGGCAGGCGAGGGTCGCAGGGAGCAGGGGGTGCTGTGGGAGATTGGAAGCTGGTGCAGCTAAGCCTGACTTGCCTGGGGGACCCCTTCCTCACTGCCACCAGGTGGACTCTCCTAACCGCAGTGGGCAGACCCTCTACGAGCAGGCGTTCTCCAGCCCCGGAGGGGATGCACAGGTGTAAGTAGGGGGCCAGAGGGGCTGCCGTGGGGAGGCTAGAGGAGGGAAGCCCACCTGGACCCCTTACCCACCTGTCCTCAGGATCCAGCCCCTGCCCATGGACAGCAGCGCTTACTCGTTCACCGCCTTTGCCGGCGTCCCGGCTGTTGAGTTTTCCTTCACGGAGGTGAGCCATCCTTGTCCAGGGGCCGCAGACCGCCCGCCCCACAGCTCGGCTCCGCCGCGCCCATGTCCAGCGCCGCCCTGTCCCGGCAGGATGGCCCAGTGTATCCGTACCTGCACACCAAGGAGGACACGTACGAGAACCTGCACGCCGCGCTACGGGGTCGCCTGCCCGCCGTCGCCAAGGCGGTGGCCCAACTGGCTGGCCAACTCCTCATCCGACTCAGCCATGACCACCTGCTGCCCCTGGACTTCGGCTGCTACGGGGACGTGGTCCTCAGGCACATCGGCAGCCTCAACGAGTTCTCTGCGGATCTCAAGGTGCAAGATGCCCGCCTCTGGGGTGGGGTGGGGGCGCTACCGACGCCTAAAATGCTGCCTAGGCCCCGGGGTTGGGCCCCTCCTCCCATCCATCTCTGGAGTCTTGGGTCCCTTGGCCACCCCCTAAGCCCCTAGGCCCCAGCTGGTACCCACCCCCGCCCCCAGGTCTTGGGATTTGCACCGCCACCCCACCCCAGAAGTCCTCTTTCCGCCCCCAGCACTCTTTGCCCCTGCCCCCTGCTGCCGCCTGCCAGGCCCAGGGTTCCAGGCCCATCCTCCAACATCGTGTCCTCCCCCGCGTCTCCACCCCCCTACCTCCTACCCCATCCCACCCCCCACGGTCCGGGCCCTGGGTCCTGGCCCCTGGCTGCCTGCCCCAGCCCGCACCTCCGCCCGCAGGCCCGCGGGCTGACCCTGCAGTGGGTGTACTCTGCGCGGGGGGACTACATCCGCGCGGCCGAGAAGCTGCGGAAGGAGATCTACAGCTCGGAGGAGAACGATGAGCGGCTGACCCGCATGTACAACGTGCGCATCATGCGGGTGAGGCCCCGCCCCGCGCCCCGAGCCACGCCCCTCCTCCCTCGGTCTGCAGAGGGTCTGGACTGGGGTTCCCCACCTTGCAGGGCCAGGGCGCCTCTCCTCTCTCTTCTCGTTTCTGCCCCCTCCTGCCTCCCCTCTTCCCCCTTCCATGCTGCCATATTGATTGGAAAGGGGCCGTGGGCTGACTGATCCGTGACCTCGCAGCATGCTTAGCTCGCCCAGGGTGTAATGCTCTCCGACTGGCCAGGCTGGAGGACCTAGCGACCATCGAGACAGGGCCCTCGAAGGGAAGAAATGGGGCGGGGGAGGACACGCAGCCCCTTAGCCACACTCACCGGGTCACCACGTGGCAAAGCTGGGGCGATCAACACACACAGCCCCCTCCCTCTGGAGGGGAACAAATGGGCCTTTATTCCGGGACCCACAGGACAAAAGGTTTCCCAGAGCTAAAGACGTTCTGATGGGGGGATGGTCATCTTCTTCGGGGGCTCATGGCAGGATTCCAGGAGGAGGTGCCACCTGAAAGCTGACTCCTCTCTCCCCGCCCTGCTTCTCACTTGTGCTTCACTTGGAATACTTTGTCCCCCTCACACATCTCCAGGCACAATGACCCTTCCTCCTGGTTCCTCAACCCAGGAAGGGCAATCCTTCAGGCCTTTGGTCTTGGGACGTGGGTAGGTAGGCCAGTGGTCAGCGATGCAGATTTGTGAGCGGGGGCCACCCGGAGTGAGTGTGGAGTCCCTCCCTGGGCAGCACCCCCTGGAAATACACACAGGGTACTCAGTGTATACACACACACACACACACACACACACCCTGTTTTCAGAGTGAGCATGTCTGCCCCTTCCAGGTTCACGTTTTTTCTTATCCCTTGCTTTTTCCTCTGTACACTCCTACCTGCCCATCCTCCCTTGGTGTGAACTCCTTCCTACTTTCAGTTTACAAACCTGCCCACCTTGTCCTTTCTTAACCTTGCTTCTTACTCCCCTTCCCTCCCCGGTAGCAGTGGTTACATGTTGGACTGCTAGCTGCAAGGTCAGCAGTTTCAAACCACTAGCCACTCCGCAGAAGAAAGACAGGGCTTTCTACTCCTGTAAAGAGTGCCAGTCTCTCGGGCCCTCCCAGATGCAGTTCTACTCTGTCCTGTCGGGTTGCTGAGAGTCAGAGGGGATTCGATGGCAGTGAGCTTTGTAGAATGTAACCCCAAGAATGCAAAATGACACCTCCCCCCACCCCTGAGAGGAAGAGACTGTGCCAGGCACAGGGGACTTTTGACCTAGACCAGGAGCTGGAAAACGAGCAAGCAACCTGCTGGTAAGCTTCTACCTGCCACCTGTTGTTATAAATAATGCCCTATTGCAAAACACAGCGTTGCTCAGTGGTTGACGTATTGCTCACGTCAGCTTCCACGCAATAGTGGCCGAGTTGCAACAGGCCCACGTGGCCTATAAAGCCACACATGTTTATTGTTTGCTCCATCACAGAACGAGGAGCCTTAGTGGTGCTGTGAATACAGCCCTCGACTGGTCAACTGTAAACTGAAAGGTCGGCAGTCGGAACCCGCCGCTGCTAAGTGGGAGAGAGGTAGCCGTCGGCTCCCATCCAGATTACAGCGTTGGCAGCTCTGTCCTATTGGGTTCCTATGAGTGGAAATTTGACTGAATGGCCTTGGGCCTGGAACAGACAGAACTTGGGCCAGTGTGAAGAAGGGAGGACATTTCCAGGTGGAGAGGGAGGGCCAAAGTAAGAGTGTGATTGTGAAGTGGGACTAACTGTCCTTGGGAGCAGGGAGTGGCCGAGCAGAGCCCGAACAGAGGTCCCGTGGACAAGCAGCAGGAGGGTTGCTCGAAACGGGCTAGGAACCAACAGTGGAGAGCCTTAGGGGTCAGGGCTGGATGTGTTTTCGGGATGTTGAGCATGGAAGGGATGTAGCCAAATGGAATTTTAGGATTTGGGCTGCCAGGTAAGCGGACTTGAAGATGGAGTGATGCTGCTAAGGGCTGAGTTCTAGGTAAGAATGGCAGCAGAGCTGTGTAGGCGGGGACCTCGCTGGTGTGAGGCACTTGGAGGAAGAACAGACAGACTAGATGTTAGACTGGATGTTGGGGAGGGGAGCAGAGGAAAATAATAGTAGCCATCTGCCATGTGCCTCATTTTCTCCCGTAGTCCTCCTCGAAGCCCTGTGTGGTTTCCAGTTTTGTTTTTTTTAACATTTTATTAGGGGCTCGTACAACTGTTATCGCAATCCATACACACATCAATTGTGTAAAGCGCATTTGTACATCATTCTCAAAACATGTTCTCTCTACTTAAACCCTGACATTAGGTCCTCGTTTTTCCCCTCCCTCCCTCCTCCCCCCTCCCTCATGAACCCTTGATAGTTTATAAATTGTTATTTTGTCATATCGGTTTCCAGTTTTGTATCCAGAAACGAAGCTCGGAGAGATGAAGTAACTTACCAACACCACATAGATAATAAGAATAAACCCCTCCTAACTCACTGCCACTCTTGGTGCAGGTAGAGTACTGACTAGAGTACTGCCGACTCATAGCAACCCTATAGGACAGGGTAGAATCGCCCCTGTGGGTAGAATTGCCCTCTGAGACACTAACTGTTTACAGGAGTAGAAAGCCGTCTTTCTCCCATGGAGCAGCAGGTGGTTTCAAACTACGCCCGGACACATAACCATTACGCCACCAGGGATCCCACATAGATCGTGGCAGAACTGAAATAGAAACCAGGCCGTCTGGCCAGAAAGCTTTTGAGGTTGAGAGTCTGGTGGCTGAGAACGGCCATGGTTACTCAGAGGGAAGGTGAGAGCCGAACTCAGAAGGTGGGTGCCAAAGTGTGCGTGAGGTTGTCACTAGGCCGAATGACAGGGGATGCTTTGACCAGTAGGCTTGGGAAGTGTCTCCCCAGAAGTCACTGCTGAAGGCAGGGGCCTTGGGCAAGCTCTCTCTGGGATCACACTCTAAAAGTCTTCAGGAGATGAATGTGCAGCTCACTAAAACGCCCTGCCGTGAGTCGGTTCCACTTAGAGGACAGAGCAGACCTGCTTCTTGGGGTTTTCCCGGTGTGAGATCTAAATCAGCTGTTTTTCTTCTGCATAGCAGTTGGTAGGTTTGAACCATTGACCTTGTGGTGCCCAGGCAACGATCATTTTAAAATCTTCCCCACGTGGTTCAAATATGTGGCCAGGCTTGGCAACCCCTGAGCTGTAGGGAAAGAGAACAGAGGGCTGAGGTTGAACCTTGTGACCTGCCCACCGATGGGAGAACTCGGCAAGTCCAGAGGCTGTCTCCAGAGAGGTGGGTGGGACAGTATCTGACTGGGGGCTGTAGAGATTGTCAGAGGTGAGTGTAATGGCTGGGGTGAGGGGAGGTATCCAGAAAAGGAACTGCAGGACAATCGGTTAGTCTTTGAGGCTTTAGCCGAGAAGTAAATGAATGAGGAAGGAAGCCTGGGGAGACCCAGGGGCAGGCAAGAAAGATAAAAGCGGTAGAACCCAAAAGATCTGGAGTGGGTGTTCAGCTCACCTACCGGTGATGTAATGAAATACTCATTCTCTGATTGGATAACCAAAGGGAGGTGGGGCTTAGCAAAGCGGCTCTACAAGCTCCAGCATTGAAAACCTGTAGCTAGCTGTCATGGCGTCAATTCTGCCTTAAGGGGAACCTTCCTAAGGGTCAGAGAGAAATGATGCGCCGTAGGGTTTAAGATGGCTGGTTTCTCAGAAGTAGATCACCAGCCTTTCATCCACAGTGCGTCTAGGTAGATTTCAATCTCCAAGCTTTAGGATTGCAGGTGAGCATGTTAGCCGTGCATCACCCAGGGACGCCACGAGGGGAGACTAAGGAGCCGTGTTCTACTTGGACACCCAATTCGGGACTCAGCAGCCACTGGTGGCAGGTGCCAAGCTTGTTAGGAATTGCCGGCCGGCAGAAGGTGTTATTCAGTCTTCACTTCCGGGACAGGGACCCCACTAACCTGATTCCACTCTTGGTGCAGGTAGAGTACTACTTCCTGTCCCAGTACGTGTCGCCGGCTGACTCCCCATTCCGTCACATCTTCCTGGGCCATGGAGACCACACCCTCGATGCCCTGCTGGACCATCTCAGGCTGCTTCGCAAGGGTGATTCCACCCGCCCGGGGGACTCCTCCCCTGGGGTAGCACCCAGCCTAGGCTTCCAGGAGAGCCGCTTCCGTCGCCAGCTGGCCCTGCTCACCTGGACACTGCAGGGAGCGGCCAATGCACTTGGTGGGGATGTCTGGAATATTGACAACAACTTCTGAGACACGCCAGCCGTCTCTGCTGCACCCTCCCCCACCCCCAATCTGAGAGCTCTTCCTCTCTCCATTTGGATGATTTCAGGGTGCAGAAGTGTCCACACGCCCTCTCACAGCTGACTGAGATTCTCAAAGCCCTTCCTGTCCCTCACAGCCCAAATCCCAGTACATAGACATGCCCTCACCCCTGGATCCACCAAAGTAGGGGTGACGTGAACTGTGCCTTCTAGAACAGCATGGTCACACTGTCAAGTAATTGGCCACGTCCTTGCCACCATAGACCCTTTCTTCTTTAGGATCACGGTCCCCCACACCTTGAGACCATCCTTGAAGGATTCTTGGGTCCTGGAGCCTGGCCCAGCTCTTGGTGGAAGAAATGATTAGACCCTGTAGTCAACAGGTAGTTGGTAGTGGAAGGGTGATGGGATTTGGGCGCCAATAAACCCCTTGGTGACATCTACTGTCTCTAGGCCTCTTTGTGCTTCTCCCCCTCCCACCCCACCCATTCATCTTCTGTCCCTTGACACCTAGAGCGGGGCCGGGCAGACGGAGCCAGAAGGGGTGCGAGTGGAAGTGCTCCCCCATAGCACACACGCTTGAGTTGTGTCTGTTGCTCCGAGTCAGAACTGATCCGAGGGCAGTGACTTCGGTTTGGGTTTGGTCTTCTCCAGAGAGGGTCTTGAATGGTCTGACAAAATCGTTTGTGCGCAGTTCTCAAAGTTCAAATTCACCTAGGGGTGCCATGGAGGCCAAACCTTGGGGAGCGGGTCTGTTTCCATAAAGAGTACAGCCAAACAAAGCCTACGTGGGCAGCTCTATACTATACCCCATGGAACTTGGGGAAGCCCATCGGAAACAGTTCATTTGGTCGGCTTTCCTGAAACATGCCCTCACTCCAGCAGCCATGAAAATGACACAGGACCGGACAACATTTCGCTCGTTACACATGGGGACACCGGGCCCACGGCAACTGACAGCCACCTTCTTCTCCGGAGACCTGCAGGAGAGAGGACCAGCTCTGCAGTGTCTCCTGGGACCAGGGTCCAAGAAGCAGGAACAAAGCGCCGTTCTTCCACACGCCCTCCACTTGCCATGGCGTCATCAACGTGCTGGGTGATGTCTTGCTTTCTTGGTCACTGCAATGCTCTCCGGGCGAGAGGCACCGGGAGTTCAGCACCACAGCTTGGTACACAGAGTGCATGTGTCCAACCCTGCCCCGCCTCCACCCTTCCCCGTGCCTGGGCCCAGGCCAACGATGGGGAAGAGTGTGGTGGTTATGACCAGGGCCAGGCCGGGGAGCTAGCAGAGAGAGGCCACTCCAGAGAGGTGGGGAGGTGGTGGGAGGCAGAATCTGCAGCACATACTCCATCATCCCGTGGCATTTCAGGAACAAAACACACATTCGAAGATCAAATGATGGCGAGTTTCAAGATGACCCCCACAGGGTATTGAGCCCCCAAGTCCAGGCTGCCCTTGGGAGCACAAAGCCACCGAAATGGAAATGGTTGTGTCGCAAAACCATTGTTTCTCTACCTGGGACACTTCTTCCCGCTGGGGACACCCCCTTTTCCCCCTGCCGCCCAATGGTCAATCTTTGTCCAGTGAAGGTGGAGACCCTGAGGGATGAGCCCCCTGAGGGAAGGAAATGACAAGGGCTGCTGCGACCACTTTACCTGTGAGCACAGTCTCAGGAAGTCCTGCCCTGGCTCTCATTCGACGGCAGTGGCATTGATCCTGGGACTTAGCTCTCAGGCTACTTGGTCCTGTTCTGTTTCCAGTGCAGGATAAGAGGTCTTACCCAGCTTCTCAGGTACTGGGAAGTAACGCTATCCTAATTGAAAATGGGATCGTCTAGCCCAGTGGTTCTCAATCTTCCTAATGTTGAGACCCTTTCATACAGTTCCTCAGGTTGTGGTGGCCCCCCCCAACCAGAAAATTATTTTTGTTGCTACTTCATCACTGTCATTTTGCTACTGTTATGAATCATCATGTAAATATCTGATATAGGATGCATTTTCATGGTTACAAATTGAACATCTTTAAAGCATCGTGATTTATCATAAAACAATATGGAATTATCTATTGTGAAATATTTATTGCTAATTACAAGTAAATGAGATTTTGTCTTGAAGCATGGTGTAACATGGGTAACATTTTTCATGCCACCAGACACTCCTATGTGGGTGTATCTGCATGTGGGCGGACCCACCTGGAGACAGATAGAGGAGCGGTGTCTTGGTTTCTAAGACCATCACATACATGTGTTTTCCGATGGTCTTAGGCAACCCCTGTGAAAGGGTCATTTGACCCCCCCAAAGGGGTCGCGATCCACAGGTTGAGAACCGGTGGTCTCGCCCATTGATTCCAGATGGAAACTGTCTCTTCCTTAGGGCCCCCAGCCTGCATGAAGATCAGAAACCTCAAGCATTTGTTTCCCTGGCATATAACCGGAGACGGATTTCCCCAGGTGACTTCTGAACTTTTCATCACCTTGTCCACACACTCCCGTCAGTGGACAGAGCAATCAGAGGTCTGAGTCCTCACGGCCCAGAGCCTGTGGGGATGGTAGCTGACATGACAAAGAGGATGTTGCGATGAGGAGCTCACCCCGGATTATTGGAAGCAAGGTGAGGCTGTCTGCTCCCAAAGATGGGTGCCGTGGGAGACCCAACATTGGGTTGCTAGCAATTGAAATAGACTCGGTGGCAGTGGGTTTGGTTTTGGGGTTTTGAGATATCAAAGAGCAGATTAAGCAAGCAGCAAAAAAAAAAAAAAGACCAGATGGGTGCAGATAGATGCCATGCCCCGTGAAATCTCTAAGAAACAGAAGCTAAAAAGGCCGAGATGTTTCCCCAGAGCTGGGGTCCTGGGTTCAGAAAACAAGGATTCGTTACATCCACCAGCTTGTGGTATTTCCATTGGAGCAGCATTAGAGAGCGAAGATACCAGACAGTTGCCTGGCTATGAAATACGCAGCTACATAGGAGCCAGGTTATTTGTGCTTGCCTGGGGGAGAGGGGGTGTCAGAGGGAGGGGCTGTTGTCCAGGCTCACTGAGTTGACATGCATGGTGGGACAGGCGAGCACAACAGTTGCCCCACTGGAGGGAGAATGTAAGCAATGTCTTGGAATTAGACCCATGGAAAGGGTTGAGGGGAGGGTTCGAGATTGACCTTCAAAAAAAAAAAGCCTCTGTGTTCCAAGTCCCTTTTCCCTGTATAACCTCCCCCTTCAAGGCAGAGTCTCAGGAAGCACTCCTGACCCCCACCCCTACCCCCACCCCATTAGCAACAAGGCTTTTTCACATTAACCTGGCTGGGGGTGGGCTGGGCCCAGCCAAGGAGCCCTGGTAGCTGGTGTCGTGATGCGTTGGGCTGCTAGCCACAAAGTCAGCAGTTCAAAACCACCAAGCCGCTTCTCAGAAGAAAGGTGGGGCTCTCACCGACACTGCTATGAGTCAGTGTCAACTCAATGGCAGTAGTTTGAGTGGGCATCGACTCAACAGTAATAAGTGTTTGTTTGTTTTCCGGGGCTGGGGGCTGGGGGAAGTGGCAACACTGATAGACAGGTAAATTGTTGCGAGCCCACGCTGTCTTTTCTAGTCACAGCTACAAGCCCATCTCTCTGCAGGCTATTGGGGCCACCCCCCACTGGGATTATCCTAGGGTATGGGACAGACAAGACTCCTGGGGCGACAGGGCAGGGCCAAGGCCCGTAAGTCAAGCTGGAGCCGCTGATAACCTCTCGGCAGCACAGCAACCTGGCTGTCTGAACCAAAGGATCTTGCTGATTCTTCCCTTCATGGACCATCTGCACCCCAGGGTCAATGCCTCTCCCTCCCTCGTGTGCAGCATCTTCTCCTGTATTCTTCTAAGGGCTCTATTCTTCTCCTGTACCAGTTTCTCCCTGCTGGGTGAAGGTGGAGTTGCATGGGGCAGTGCCATTTCTGGGTGTTTCTGACACATGGGAGCTCGACTGCATACAAACAGACCACCAGACAAGCAAGGACAGGCAAGGACTCTGAGGACAGTAAGCACCAACCCTGAAAGAAGCTCCAGATGGTGAAACGGGAGTTCTACAGCAGTCAGGGGGTATAGAATCATTCCTTCTTTCTTCCTTAGATACGTAGGTTTAGGGTCCAGTCGATGACAGAGCTAGGGGGGAATCTTAAGAATTAACTTGCTGAATTTCATGTCCTGGTTCCAAAGGGAGGAACTGAACCCCAAGAAGTGAGCTGCTGACCTGCAATCCAGCCCTAGGCCCGCAGGCACTCATTGCCCCAGATGGGGAGGAACTAGAGGGTGCCGGCCCACCGAGAAAGAAGTGGAAGCCGAGGGACAGGTTCCCAAAATTCCTCGCTTTAGTTTTAAAAATGTATTTTATTCAACTTGGAAAATTAATACAAATCTGAGGGTGGTTTGAGGGCAGGGGAGGCAAGGAGCAGGAGTGGTGGCATGGGCATGTGCACCACAGTGGTTGTCTCCTGTGCCTGCCCCGGAGGCTGGGGTGAAGGTGGAGCAGGCAGCTCAGGTCCGGAGGAACACCATGGTGAGGAGGCCTGGGGAGGGTGGATGGACAGAAAGAATGGAGTCAAATGAACAGCCTGGGGCTCCCAGCCCACTTCCTGGCCCTGGCTCCCCTGAGACTACACTCACCCAAGACATAGGCTGCTACCAACTTCTGTCCCAGTGAGACGTGCAAGACTTGGGGCAGCTGGCTGCCCAGTTCATCGTGGAGTGGGAGCAGCAGGAAGGCCACAGCAATAATGCCGGTCAGCAGGAAGAGGAGGAAGGAGCTGGTGGCCAGTTGTGGGTGGGCGTCTGGGAAACAAAGTTTATCAGAAGCTCCACCCCAGTCCTCCCCAGCCCCTTGGCCCGACCCAAGTTTCTATTGAGGGAGGCCAAGCTGTCTGGCTGAGGGAGGAGAGTGCCCCCATGCCTGCCTAAGGTCACTTCAATGTCCCTCTCCTCTCGGGTGCCCCTGTCCCCACAGTCACAAGTAATCCTCCTCCTCTGGTCCCTGTTTTTGCCCTGCCTTGATTACTCCATCTTCTGAGCACCTATTTGACAGGTAGGAGCTTCTTTCTCTCTCTCCCATATGCAGCACACACCTTGGTACAACCTAACTGGTCAACACACGTTTCTTATTGAACTGAACTGAGCTGGCATACCGTAGGAAGAACGAAAATTGGAGCTAACAAACCTCTCTAAGTAAAAGCCTGAAACCAGAGGCACTGCAAAATCTTCTTTCATCAAACCTGATATCTGCATACATATTATGTATATTAATATATAGTTACATTTTTAGTATATGTTATATTTCTACATCTCAATTCCACCTTTCCACCAAAAGGCAGAAGACTGTGCAAGAAGATGCCTTCCAATCCAATGGGGCTCATAAGGTAAGCCAATACCAGCTCCTCCCTCCCTACAGAACTCAAACTTTCCCCTTTCCAACTCACTCTCCTGGAAGTGCCTGGCGGTGGGGGGTGGGGGTGGTGTCCTGCCAGGAGGCCCTGGTGGGGGCACCTCCTGCCCCGCCTGAAGTTCAAGAGGGTAGGCCGGCGCCCTCAGGACCGAGGGGATGTCCTTGCGTCCCACCACTCGCCCTTCGGCCCCCTCCTCAGACAGCTCAATGCGGAAGCGGTCCTGGACATCGTAGTGGCTGGGTATGGGGGCCACGTGGCGAATCACACTGATCCCAGGGGAAGAGAAATCCCAGGGGAGGAAATGAGTGGGCGGCAATGTTCTACGTGGATCCAGCCCCCCCCTCCCCCAACTTCTCCCCAACCTCCCAGGGTCCCACCACCACCACCAAGGACAAAGGGCAAAGGATGGGGAAAGCAGGTTGAGGAAGAGGTCTGAGATCTAAGACACCATTGCTAGGAATTTAAGGAGGAGGGTTTCCATCAGCCCCTACTCCCCCACCCGCAACTCACATATCGATGCAGGACTGAGGTCTCACGTAGCCCTCGGCGTCGAACACTGTATATTTGGCAGGTGCTGTGCACAGGACTAAGGGATACAGATACAAAGAAACCGCCTATTGCCTCATAGACAACCTTTGCCCCTCGAGGTGGGGGTGGGGGTGGACACTGGGGCCACCTGGACTTTCACCCCAGGGCTGGACATGCCTCTGCCAGCGCCCCCCGCCCCAGCCCCCTGCCACCAATCCCAAGATCCCTAGCACGAGGTCCCCACCCCATCACCTCGGAAGCGAAGCGCAGCTCCCGTGGGGTTATAGAGGGTCAGCAGCTGTCGGGGTCCGCTCCGTTGGTCTGCCCTGAACACTAGATCAGGGGGAAAGACAAGGACCGGGACAACGGGTCCCGAGGGAGGAGGGGCGCCCCGGGACCCCCGCCCAGGGGCCCCCGGACCCACCAGCGCCTGGTCCTGGAGCGCCCCACGGCGCATGCAGGCTCTGGGCGGTCGGACATCCGAGGGCAGAGCTCAGGGGACAAGGCCGGAGGGTAGAGCTGGGCGAGCGCGGGAGGCGAGGGGGGACTGGATGAGACCGTGGGGGGACGCCTGGAACCACCCTAAAGGGGCCTCCGTCGACCCCCACCCAGGAGACCGAAGCCGTTCCGCTTTCTAAGTCGGCTTTTACACCCCGCCCCTGAGTTTCAGCGAGCTGGTCACGCCCACCCCGCTAAATCCTGCCCCTGGCGCCGCCGCTGGCCCGGCGCTTCCTCCCAGGAACCCCGCCCCCTCCAGGCCCCGCCCCTTCCGGCACTCGGCCCGCCAGCCCCGCCTCTTCCGCCGGCTCCGGGCCGCCTGCAGTCCCGCGGGCGGCGCTGTCTGTGCCTCCGGTCCCGGCTGCAGCCCCCGCGAGGGCAACTTTGTGCGTCCACCTCCGCCCAGCGGCTGCTGCCATTAGCCTCACCTTTTGGTCTCGCACATGCCCATCAACGGTGCCGGACCCGGAATGCCATCTTCTCTGCCGCCCGTGATTGGTTTGGCCCCAGTGATGTCAACTTTTTACTGGCAGCCCTAGAGAATTCTGGAGAAGATGGAGGCGGGCCTGGAAGCCGGGCCTTTGTTTCTGCCTCCCCTCGGAACCAAACCTCTTCTCTCGCTTGGAACCCTTCCTCCCACTCCAAGGCTCACGTAGGAACGGGCAAAGCCCGTTTGGCATCGTGTATTAAGCGTTGAGGGCTAACCGCAAGGTTAGTGGTTCAAGCCCACTTGCCGCTCGACGGGGAGCAAGAGGAGGTTGTCTGCTCCTAACGATGGAGTCTTGAATACCCTTCCTTCCCTGGGTCACTGTGAGCTGGAATTGCCTCCAAGGCGGTGGGTTTGGGGAGTTAAGTCTAGGTGCCCAGTGGCCAAGCTCCCCCATCCGGACCCACCCAGGAACTGGCTTCCTAGGAGAAAGACCTCGGAATCTGCTCCTGTGAAGCTATAGCTTAGGATCCCCCAGGGCAGGTACACTCTCAAACCATCTGTGTCCCAACTGGAAGTAGAGTTGAAGTTCCTGTTGAGACGGGGGTCTCAACCCAGAACCTTTCTTCCTTCCTGGGAAGCCAGGATTACCAAACCCTGACACTTAAATCAACATCACCCCAGAAAAATGTCAACATCGTCGTTCACTCCCTTTGTCTTACAGACCAGGTAGCAAATCTCACCCTACACCAGTTAGCAATGGAGTCAGTTAGCAATGGAGCGAGCACAAGCAGGTGAACTTAGCCGGGAGCCTTCCCTAAACACCTTGTTACACGTAGAATCTGCTTACCCTTCAAGTTATCCCCTAACCATGCCTTATTTCCCCATTGGCCATTATAATATTACTGTATCAAAATCCACCACAATCAGGTGAGTACATTCTGACAGCAGCACCCCCAGTTAGGGTTTCCAGGGCTCTGTGTGTTTACGGGAACAGGCAGTCTCACCTTTTCCCTCAAGAGCAGCTGGTGAGTTTGAACTACAGACTTTGCAGCCCAACGTCCAGCTTACAGGGCCACCAGTGCTCTTTTTAGCCCTCAATGTTAGTATTTATCTCTCCTGTTAGAATGTGCTCTCTACAAGTGCGGGGGCTGTTGGTGTGCCTTCAGCACCTAGAATGGTATCTGAATTTGGAAGATAAACCCCCCCAAACCCACTGCCCCTGAGTCAATCCCCACTCATACTGACCCTAGATAGAGTTTCCAAGGCTGTAAAATATCTTCAACTTTTCTCCTGCAGGGCAGCTAGTGGGTTTGAACCATAGTCCTTGCAGATTTCAGTCCCAACAGCACCAGCAGAGCTTTCTTGATTCACGAATTATTGGGGAGAGAACTTCTGGAAGGATGGCTAAGTAGACACACTGCACAGATCCTCTATACAGCAGTTCTCAACCTGTGGGTCACGACCCCTTTGAGGATTAAACAGTCCTTTTCACAGGGGTCGCCCAATTCATAACAGTAGCAAAATGACTGATGAAGTAGCAATGAAAATAACTTTATGGTTGGGGTTACCACAACATGAGGAACTGTATTAAAGGGTCGCAGCGTTAGGAAGGTTGAGAACCACCGAGACCAAATTCAACAAATATGGATGATAATCCTGGAACCCTGAGCTTCAGAGGGAAGAATAGCGAAGGTGATTGAATGCAGACTCACAGAGGCTGAACCAAAGCTGTGAGAGGAGACAGACGACGGGTGAATTGTCTGCTAGCCTTCAGAGTGACCATCTTAAACCTCTGCGAGCAGCACTCAATTGAGACGTGGCCCACTACACCAGTGGCTGGCAACCAAGAAAGGCCCCTCCCTTGTTCCCCATACCCTCCTGATGACCAGAAGGGTGGCCAACCCCAACCCTCACCCATCCAGCAGCCAATGACATCCCTCCCTGTGTAGCCTCTGCACTGCCTGAGGTCAGATCTGCACCCATGTGGATCGAGTGCTGGGTGCATCATCCTAACATCTCAAAGTGTGTGAAATCCTTTTCAGCAGAACATGCAGAGCCAGGTCCCTGGCCACCCCCTGGACAGGCAAGAAATCTCCAGAATCAGCCTCCCTGATACCATCAGCCCTCGAGGCCTGCAAGAATTCCTTCTAGGAACAAGCTGCCTGACCTCAGCCATTATCTGCACTGGCAAGAACTCCATCTGGATCTGAGACCCTGAGTCCAGAGGGTATATAGGCTGGCAGGCACTCCATCAAGGACTGGGCCTCCCACCTCCTCTTTCCTTTCCCTCCACTATATTATCCCCTTGGTTGGCAGAAGTTGCCTGACCCATACTGGGTACCCTGCTCCCCACAATTTTTTTGCTTCCCACCCACCCCCTACCATTTTAGAAATCTTTTCTTGTTAATCTTTTTTTTCACTTCTGTTTCTTTTTTCTTTACTCTTATATTTGATTTTTCCTCCTCACTATGGTTTTGTGAATGTATTTTTTTGATCTTTTCTCTTACCTTGCTTTTATTTGCCTTTCATCAAATTCTTTTTTTTCTTGCAATTTACCTGCTTTCCCTTGCTTTTGAAAAGAAAAACTTATTTTTGCTGGGGTCGTTGTTTTTTTTTGGTCCCACCCACTGAGAGAACAGATGTACCCAGCTGCACGCGTACCTCCTACAGCCCCACTCTTTTATCATCTGATCACGTCTAGACAGTAGCAACACCAGCAAAAGCCACCCTTTACTTTACTACACAGAGAACTGGGCACACTTGTTCTCTATCACATCCACCAGGATAAAGGTAGTGAGGCCTAAGAACACACCCAACATATAAGTGTCATGACATACAACATGTCTTCGAGACCACTGACCCCATTTCAATTCACACGAAACAAGGCAGAGTGGCTCAAGCAAATGACTAATACACAGAGCCAGAAGACCATTCTCAGGAAGAAAGAGCATTGGAGCTACTTGATAATGAATTCAAAATAATATTTACACTCCTTCAGTGGATTGATACAAAGACTAATAAAAGCAAGGAAAACACAAAATTGTCTGGAGGAATTCAGAAAAACAGTATGAGAACAAAATGACAAATTGAAAAATTAGGAACTATACAAAAACAGGAAATGAAAACCCAGGAGATTAATACTAAGATTTCATGAATAGCTAATAATTGGAAGGGCAAAGGAGATTGAAGTAGTGACCTTGAAAATAAATCTTTTAATATTAATGTGCCAAGGGAACAATTAGAAAAAGAGAAAAACGCGAAGAAAGCCTAAGATTCGCGTGGGACACAATCAAGAGGAATAACTTACTCATAATTGGAAATCTAGAATAGTAAGAATCAACCAAAAAAGCACCGAGAAAATTGTCAAAGAATTGTGGGAAGAAAACTTCCCTAACATCATAAAAGATGAGAAGATAGATATTTGAGAAGGTGAACAAACCCCAGACAGGATAGATAATAAACAAAATTCACCAAGACAAATTCTTTTTTGTTTAATCATTCTATTGGGAAGACAAATTCATACCAAATGGAAAACAAGAAAAGAGCGCTGAGAGCAACTCCTGAAAAACAAAATGTCACCAAAAACAAAAAACGTTACCTATAAAGGAGAGCCAATGAAACTAAGCTCTGAGTCCTCAGCAGAAATCGGGCAGGCGAGATGGCAAGAGGAGGCAGCACATATAAAACTCTGAAAGAAAAAAATGCCAACCAAATTGATACTCCCACCCAGAAAAAAATAACCTTCAAATATGAATTTTAGAATATTTCCAGATAAACAGAAAGAATGAATTTATGAAAACCAGACCAACCTTACAAGAAATACTAAAGGCAGCTCTTTAGCCAGAGAACCAACAACTGTAGATAACTTGAGATTGGCAGCCCTGACAATTCCACCTAGAAGTCTATCCAGATAAAGAAGTAGCCAAAGGAAAACAAATCTACAAGACTGAAAACAGGCAACCAGAATTATACACATATAATGACGAGAATTCGATATGACAAAATACCCATTTATAAACTATCAAGGGCTCATGCGGGAGGGGGGAGCGGGGAGGGAGGGGAAAAATGAGGACCTAATGTCGGGGGTTTAAATGGAGAGAAAATGTTTTGAGAAACGATGTACAAATGCGCTTTACACAATTGATGTGTGTATGGATTGGGATAACAGTTGTATGAGCCCCTAATAAAATGTTAAAAAATAAAAAAATAAAAAGACAAAAAAAAAAATGACAAGAATTCGAAAGTAAGAGAACATCTCAGTGGAAAGGCAGCCAAGTAGATTTCAAGGACCCGGGTAAAGAAAAGAGCAGTGCACAATAGGGGAGGTTGGCAGAGGTGGATGTAGAGGAGGACACTGGGAAGACTGCAAGAGTGTAAGGCAACAGAGAAGAAAGAGCTGTCAGGTACACAATCCTGTAAGGTTGGTGATTTTGCAAGTAGATGCATGAACAGACACATAGGCTATGTGGGTGTGTGAGGGAGACAGGATATATATATATATATAATCATTTTATTGGGGCTCATACAATTCATCACAATACATAGATCAATTGTGTAAAGCACACCTATACCTTTGTTGCTCTCATCATTCCCAAAATTCGCTTTCCTCTTGGGTTCCTGGAATCAGCTGATAGATATTTTTGACAGATTTACACACAGATACTTAGCTTTGCTGAAATTTAATTCATGGATATGGTGAAAAACCCCAAACGAACTCTCTGCCAACGAGTCAATACAGACTCATAGTGACTCTATAGGACAGGGTAGAATTGCCCCTGTGAGTTTCTGAGACCTGTTTACCCGAGTAGAAATCCCATCTTTTGGGTGGTTTTGAACTGCCCACCAGGGCTCCTTGTGGTAGAGCATACAGGGGTCAAAAATTTTAAAATTTCGTGGACCTTTGGGCTCAAGACCACAGTCTCAGGGGACAGCAAGGTCAATTGGCATAACATAGTTCACAAAGTCTACATCTGGTGATTAGAGACTGGGATCTTAAAAGCTTGGAAGTGACCATCTAGATGCAACTATTGGTCCTTCCCTTTCTTGAGGCCAAAAATAGTGATGAAAATTGAAGCCACATGGAAACAATTAGTCCAATGGAATAATGGAACAGGGTGAGCATCAGTCTTTATGACCCTGAGACCAGAAAAACTAGATGGTGCCCAGCTACCACGACCAACTGCTCTGAAAGGGATCTTATTCGAAGGTCTTAATCAGTGGGTCTCAGCCTTCCTAATGCCACGACCCTTTCATACAGTTCCTCGTGTTGTGGTGACCCCCAACCATAACATTATTTTCATTGCTACTTCATAACTGTAAATTTTTTTTGTTTTTTAAATCATTTTACTGGGGGCTCATACAACTCTTATCACAATCCATACATACATCAATTGTGTTAAGCACATTTGTACATTCGTTGCCCTCTTCATTCTCAAAATATTTGCTCTCCACTTAAGCCTTTGGTATCAGCTCCTCATTTCCCCCCTCCCTCATAAACCTTTGATAATTTATAAATTATTATTTTGTCATGTCTTATACTGTCCGACGTCTCCCTTCACCCACTTTTCTATTGTCCTCCCCCAAAGAGGAGGTTATATGTAGATTCTTAATAATCAGTTCCTCCTTTCTACCCCACCTTCCCTCTACCCTCTATTATGAATCGTAATGTAAATATCTGATATTCAGGGTGTATTTTCATTGTTACAAACTGAACATAAGTAAAGCACAGTAATCACAAAAACATGTAATTATATATTGTGAAATACTTATTTCTAATTCCAAATCAATAAAATTTTGTCTTGAAGCATGGTGTAGCATGGGTAACAGTCTTAATATAACAACAGTAAACTAAATTGCGAAATTTTGCTACCATATGCGTCAAAAGCCAACATCAGTGTGAAGGTTGAGATAGCTTCTTTCTCACCAGATCAGAAATTCTCAGAGCGGTCTTTGCAAGGGCACAACGAAGATCATCTTCCACAACAAGTCTACTTCTGTATTTAGACTTGATAACCAACCAGCTGGAAAACCCTGTTTCACAAAGATATGTTGTTGGAAATGGCAGGAGAAGGTGCAACACAGTCTCAGACAGAACAGGATAGGACTGCAAACACTGGATCCAGAATTTTGTAACTGGCACTGTAGAGAAATCCATTCTCGCTGCATCACTTTAATAAGTTCAATGAACTCCTCTTGTGCCGTCTCAGGAACATCTTCCACTTTGACTGTGAGTGGGCTTCTGGCAAGTGCAAGTGGGGTGTCAGGGAGATTTGGAAAGTACGATGAGATTTGGTCTGCAAACGTGCAAGTGTTCTTTTACAGAAATTATCATCGTAATCCTTTTGTCTGGTTCAATGTCATGTTCCTCAGAGAAAGCAGATAAGGTAGGTAACATGTAAATTTTACTTTCATCCAAGTTTTTTTTTGCCAGAACTGAAGTTTCATTTGGAATGATCAGATCTTTTCAGACAAATCGAGGCATGCTGCATTTGGTCCTTGCACTGATAAATTTAACTCATCAAGATGGCAAAGATGGCAACCAAGTAAGCTATTTTCTGCAGTTCACTTTTATAACTGAAAGGTGCTTCAAAGTGCAGTCTTGCTTTCTGATTAAAAAACGTTTTGAGTTAATCACAAAGCTCAAAAACATTTTAAAACTTTACCTCTCAACTACCTCACTTCAGTGTGAAATAGAACATTGTCCAGCGCACCCAACTCGTTGCACAGTTGTGAAAACAGTCGACTGTTTAAAGTGCTCACTTTTACAAAGTTGACAGAACTTATGACTCTTTTCATTACTTCTTGTAACTCTTGTGGCAGCATCTTCATTGCTAATATTTGCCGATGAATCATTCAGTGAGTTCCTATAACTTTCGGTGACTCATTCAGTACCAAACGGTGAAATCCAGATTGACATCCTAGCATAGCTGGAGCACCATCTGTGCAAACGCCACAAACCTTTTCTCAAGAGAGCTTATGCTCTTTCAGAAATGAACCAACGTGTCAAATACATCACGTACAGTAGTTGTCGTTTCAAGAGGTTTGCAAAAAGGAAACTCATCTTTAAAGTTGCCATCATTACTATACCTCACGTGAACCAGTAACTGTGAACAGTTTGCAACATCTATAGATTCATCAAACTGGATGCTAAATATTGGAAGTGGAGCAGATTTAATTTCCTGGATGACCTGATCAAGAATATCAGCAGACATGTCACCTATTCTTCTGCGAACAGTGTTGTTAGATAAGGAAATTGCACTCAATTTTGTAACAAATTTGTCTCCGATCATAACTCGAACAATGTCTTTGGCCGCTGACAACAGTAAATCCTCAGCAATGGTGTGAGGTTTCATAGCTCTGGAGATTGAGTGCCACCAAATATGAAGCTTCAACGGCTGTTACGTTTTATTTGTGGTACTTGCCACCAGTGTCAAGTTTGGCTTTCTTGAGTCCATCAGCTTTGCTTCTAAATAGCTGGTATCCTTGCTGGCAAAGCTCGGATGCTTGCTATCAAAATGGCGTTACATTTGTTTGGCTTCATAAATTTGGCTGATAGAACTTCACAACAAACAACAATGTGGTTTCTCAATTCCTGCTGTAATTATTGAGATAAAACATACTGTAAAAAATTCTCACTATATTTTCTTAACGTTCTTCTCTACACGATCCATTGTCATGGGATGGTTCGCTAATGAAAATAATACATAATAGCTTTAATAATACAAAAGATGATACATGGCATAGTTCAGTCAATACAGTTCATTAAAGTTTCCTATGATTTACCATTCTGTTTCTTTTTACATACCTGTTACTATCACAAGGGGGCAGTATGCACATCAACCACAGCTGAATATAAAAAGACCGATCAGCATCCAGATTAAGTTCTCATGGTACAGAGAATTTTTCTTGCAATAGTTGATGATTTAACAGTACATGGTTTTTCATTTACCCAGTAATTATAATTCATGAAGTGTCATTTTACCTCCAATACTACTGCTTTCAACACAGTAGCTGCTTTCTATACAGTAGCTGTTCTCTACACCTGTGTGACTGGTCGCCATAGAACATTATGGCACCAACCCTATCACATACACCTGTATTTATATGGGGTTTATGTGATGGGGTTGGCGAGATGATGTCACATTGGAAAACACATATGTGATCCCTCTAAAAGGGTCGTTCAACCTCCAAAGGGGTCATGACCCACAGGTTGAGAACTGCTGTCTTAGAAAGCTGTGGAACAAAACTCAAAATCATAAAGGAGACCAAGCTTGCTCGTCAGACAGACACTGGTAGAATTCCTTGACTATGGTCCTCGGTTTGCTCTTGAGTCTGGAACGGAACTCACCCGAGGTTCATTTTCAGCCAAACAATAGATAGGTCTATAAGAGGAAGAACAACACTATTGGTGTGTGTGCATCTTAAAATAATGCACCATTTAGGATCAAAAGGATAGGATTTACCCAAGGACATAGTTCAGAAGGATTAGGAAAGGATGGAGACAGGAAACACAGGGAAGAGGTAGGATAGGTGATATATTACATTGAGGGGATGGCAATGAGTGATGAAACAGAATGTACGAAACGTTGAATGTACTGTAATAAGCCAAGGTTTTCAGCACATTTTTAATGCAGTTTTTGTGCTAAAATTAGGTGCCTCGGCTGATATTTGGGTCGGCTTATATTCAAGTATATACGGTAAATCTGATGAGCTTAGTGAAGCAGGCCCGGATGGGATCTAGAACTCAAGCGATGCAAGGCGACCAGATCCACCAACCTCGAGCTCTAGCAACGCACACACCAGCAGCGTCACGAAGCAGGTCTCAGAGGAGCCTCAGCTCTAGCAACATGATCCATTAGTCACGGGTTGACTTGGCCCACAGGTGGTGTAACACACAGGTTGAGGCAGAGAACCAGTTAAAGCAGCAGCACACTGATCGATCACCAGAGAGCAAGAGAGACTTTGGGGTGGGGGTGGGGGGAGAACAGGCCTTGCAGAGCCATTGTTCTCTTTGCCCTCCAATCAAACTGCAACCTCATTAATCCCACCTGTTCCTATTGGCCCGGTTGGCACAATAAACCTAACTATCACAGATGGGAGCAAAGGGAGGGTTTGAGGAGAAGGTGTAATAAGACCTGATTTACACTTTAAAGAGATTATCCTGTATCATGAACATAGCTGAATGAATCAATGAATGGAGACCTTTAAGAGGGTCCCTGAAATTACAAAAATGGAGATCACGTGCCAGTCTTAGTCAAGAAACATTTATTTGGATGAGAATGGAGCCTCTCCCTGATGGTGGCCTGGCTCAGGCCCGGGAGCCAGCAGCCCCCCCAGGCTGGGAAGGGCACCTTCTCTTGCTTAGGTTGGTGAGGATCTGGTCCTGGTTGGGCCGGTAGAGAACCACGAAGCTCTCTGGAGGGAGAACTGGACCTCTGTTCTCGTCCACCTGACCCATCACCAGATAACTGGCCCCTGGGGAAGCGGGGAGAGATTGAGAACTTGTCAGTCCATCTCCTTAGGCAACTACCCCCTTATCATTCTCATATGGCGATGTCCTCTCTCCCCCACTTCCCACCTTCCTTTACCTTTCTTCATGGGCGGGCACTGCTTGCAGGGCACATAGAACTTCAGAGGGGTGTCAGTGGGTGGCGAAGGCAGGTCCAGGCCTCCGGTTTTATAAACACCAATGAGACCGACAGTGACGGTCAGGCCCTCACCTGGGCCCCGCACCATGGACTTCACTGTTGCTGTCACCACTGTAGGAGAGGAAGGGGAGGTGAGGGGATGGGAGGCTTGGGCTGGAACCTGAAGGAGGGGTAGCTGGGGGGGGTGGGGCAGGAAGGGGTTGAGGAGCCAGTTGGAAGTGCAGGCCTGGGGCTTCTTACCCAAGTTACTGGCGCAGAAGTTGCTCTGCAGGGTGCCTGTTCGCCGACACTGCTTTGGGCAGGGGGTTCTGGGTGCACCTAGGAGGGAAGGGGAGGCATTGGTGGAGGAGGACTTGGCCGGACTTTCTCTCTGCAGCCTCAGATTGGAATCTGTTCCATGCAGAGGCCTATCAAGGGGGTGGAAGTTAAGAGCACTCCTTGTGGGGCGGCAATGAAGTTTCTATTCCCCAGCTGTAAGAGATCACTCAGCAGTTTAAACCTACTTGCCCTCTGGGTTCAGGCCCCATCTCATTCGGGGGCCAGCAGCCCGACTTGCCAGAGAAGGCTGTCTGTCTGAATGTGCCAAAGATGGGACTCCAGGACGGCGCCCCGCGCCCCCTTCCTTCTTCTTCCAAGACTCACCGGGGTCCACAGGGGTGGCCTCGGCCTCCGGGGAGGCCTCGGGTTTCCCCGCAGGTGGGAGTCGGGGCTTAGCGGAGGGCTTGACTTTGGGCCCGGTCCCGGGCTTGTGGCTGGGGGTCGGGCTCTGGGCCGGCCCGGCTTCATCCCGAGGCAGCGCTCGATAGGAGGCCGAGAAGCCGTCTGCTGTGACGCTGAGGTCGGACACGAACTGGACCAGGAGCTCGTTCCCCTCTGAGACGATGGGACTGATGGGGGTGACCAGGGGCGGAGTCTAAGCAGGCCGCCCGCCCAGCCCCCAGCCCTGTGGCCTTAATCTCTGTGCCCAAGATCCCCCTACCCTAGACCTGACCCCAGCATCCCAGCTGCCCCCACGCCCGGACTAGACTAGCTCCACCCGGGCGTTTGGGGGCACGGGCGTGGGCGTGGCAGTGGTCAGGCCCCGCCCCCAGCTAGGCTCCGCCTCCCCGCAGCCCACCGGGTCCTGCCCGCTTGCTTACCCAGGGACCATGTCGCCGCAGAACTTCCCCAGCCTCTTGGCGTCGTCACTCTCGGCGCCATTGAACACACTGACCGAGTCGTAGCGACAGTAAGTGTCGGGCTCCACGTCAAACTTCCCAAAGGTCAGCGAGATGATCTAGCGACGGAAGAGGCAGGCGACGGGGCTGAGTGGCCTAGAGGGCGCCCGCTGTCCCCAGCTGTCCAGCGTCTCGGGGACATGAGGCCGCCCGACGACGACGTCTCTTCCAGACATTCGAGAACACCCCCCCACCCCGCCCCTGGTCCTCATGCATTCGCGGGCGGCGCTTCCAGTACCCTGGAAAGCGCAGTGTCCTCCCCGACGTCCCCCACCTCCACCAACACCCCCGTACCTTGCCCTCATTAGATTCGGGACAAGAGACATCTACCTTTGTTCTGTTTTGTCCCCTTCCTCCCCTCCCCCTATCAGCGCCAGCTCAGTGGCCAGGACCGGGTAGACGCAGTATGTCTTTGTGGGCTGGGCGCCGGTACCTGGTCCGGGGCCGCAACGATGTGCCAGGAACAGCTGATGCCCGGAGGGTAGTCGGATTCGGGCCAGTTGGGCGTGGTCAGGGTCCCCTGGGCCTTCTCCAGGCGCCCTCCGCAAAACTGGTGCTCTGGGGAGGGGAGAGAGGAATGGGGGAGGGGGGCAGTGGAGACCCTCCATCAGCGGTAGAGCCCCATCACTTGGGAGTCCTGCAGGAAGCTCAGAAGTCTGGGTCTCAGGAGAAGGGGGAAAGGGGCTGTGGAGGGGGACGGGAGGAGCCGGGCTCTGGTCAGTCACGGGCCTCCAGGTGCCCAGGGTGGGGGCACCAGAGCAGGGGAACTGGCTGGACTTGTCCCTCCCCCTGGACCCGCAGTCACACCGCTCCTCACCCCTGGGGGATCCCATCTCCCCGGCCGGCAGAAAAGTCCCGTTTTGGAGCCGAGGAGCCCTCACGTGGTGAGGGTGCCCTAGATTGAGGGCGGTCCTCCACTGGGCTACTTGAAGGGAGACTTCTGCCACCAGGAGGGGTGATGGGACCGCAATCGGGAGTCCGAGGCTGGGGGTAAGGAGCTCCGGGGCTAGGGAGCCTAGTCTCCCAGCCCTGGGGTGGCCCCTCACACCCATCTGAAGGAGCCCGATTGCGGAGGGGGCGGGCAGTTACTCACCATCCCAGTAACCCCAGGCCGCCCATTCCACCCGTGGGTCCGTGACCCATTTCCGCCTCGCGCCTGGGGGCGGGCCTGGAAGAGGGGGCAGGTGGGAGCGGGAGAGGGGAGAGAAGACGGGGAGGAGGGCCTGAAGGGGCAGTTAGTGAGGGAAAGGGGTATGGGAGGTAAATGGTGACGCTAAGCTCTTGGGAGAGGGGCTTGCTTTCGGGTGGAGGTGAAGGCTGGGGGCGGGGCCTGAGCCAGGGGGCGGGGCCTGGAGAGGGGCAGGTGAGGGAAGTCTCACCTGTGTCTGAGGTGGCCCGCCCGCTGTACCAGAGCAGGAAGCCTCGTCCTCCCGTGCCCTCGTCCGCGGTCATCTTCAGGGTCACTTGGTTGCCAGGGGCGACTACTGGCGCCGGCCGGAAGGTCCCACAGAATCGCCCGAGCCGTTTGCCCGAAGTCCCAGCCCCGGCAAAGACCTCCAGCGAATCATAGAGGCAGGCTGGGTGTAGCTCCAGATCGAAGACGCGGAAGGAGAGGGACACCGTCTGGGCCTTAGGGACCTGACAGTGGGGCGGGGTGGGGGGACACGACAGGGGTGGAAGATCCCCAAAGTCAGGGCCCAGACAATTCAGGCAGAGGAAACCCTGCCCCAGTTCCCCGAGACACTGGCCAGCGTGGGAAAGGGCTAGAATGGAGCACTGCTGGGGCCACAGAGGGCTGGTCTCTGGGGGTGGAGGCTCATGCAGGGGACAAGACCTGAGGTCTGGGGAGAGACGCTGGGAATGCGGAATGCAGAGGGGGCCCTGTGAAGTGTCATGGTTCCTACCCATGCCAAGCATGACCGCAGGGGAACCTTCCCCAGGAACTTGGTGGGGTCAAGGCTGCCCCTTAGCAGTTAGACCTTTGCCTGCCTGAACCCAGGCGGGACAGCTTGGTAAGGGAACAGAGGGGCCTTCTCACCGTGATTGTCCAGATGCACTGCTTATTGGGGGGGTAGAGATTGGGGAAGCCCTCACTTGCCACGTAGCCTGAATCCCCAGTCACTTCCCCTCCGCACAGGAACACAGGTCTGGAGAGTGGGAGAGCGCTCAGTTAGGAGGGATGGAAGTCAGGATGAGAAAGGTCCAAGGGATGGGGGCAGCAGTGGGGAGCCCTCCAGCGGGGGCGAGAAACCAGTGGTCTAAGGAGTTGGCATCCCTCCAAGCTCCCAAAGTCCCCACCCCTACTCCAACTGGAATTCCAGGAATCCTCCTTAGGCCCCCCTCCCCCTCCTCTCCCTGACGCCTGGTCAGGGAGACGGAGCAGCTTAACTACTTCCAGATGCGGATGTGGCCCAGGCAGGGGAGGCGGTGGGGGGCAGGCGCGGGAAGGGGCGGAGATGCTGCAATAGCAGCAATGGTCTTCAAACAGAACCTGAACCTCAGGCTCCCTGAATGCTTCACCTCTGCCCTGCTCCCCCTTCCAGCTCACTACTTGAGGGTGTGCCTGCTGCGGCTCCCTCTGTCCTCTCACCCCCCACCCCTGCTCCATCTCCCCCAGGATATGCAAATGCTCTCCTCATAGCCAGGTGTCTGGCTACCAAGCAAGTTCAAAGTGTGGGCCCTCGGGTTGTTTCAGGAACCCAGGATGGGGTGGATAGGGAGACTGGAGGGCAGAGGCCAACAGATGGCAGAGTGTGGGTGGTGGTGGCGGGCAAGGGACAGTGAGGGACTGCAGGAGACAGCGGCCTTGCACCAGAGGAAGGACTTGGGATCTACAGAAATGGGGGCTGTGGGTCATCTAGTATGTTAGTCAAAGAGCCCCCAAATCCCACAGGATCACCCCAGGAGTGAAACTCTTTGGAGCCATCTGGAAGTTGCCAAGACCTACCTGGTGTAGTTGGGGGTCTGGCCCTGGGCAAGAGGCAGCAGGACCCAGGCAGTGAGGAGGGGCCCCAGGAAGGCAGCCAGGGCAGCAAGCGGCATGGCGGGGCCAGAGGCACTGTGGTCCTCAGACGGAGGCAGCAGTGGAGTTGAGCCGTGCGGTGGCGGCGGAGCAGGATAATCAGTGCCAGATGAGGCAGCCTGGGGAGTGTGGGCGTGGGGACTGGCCAGTGGGGCGGATGGGAGGGGGGAGG